GATTTCTTATATTAACCTGAATTTTGTTTTTCATTACGTACTTATTACTCTTACTCCACAACACGAGCCGGGCTCAGAGTGAAAATGGTAAAAAAAAGTATTGTATATTGTATTTTTTTCTGTGTAAAGTATATTTCTATCTACTTGAGCCAACATATTTGAACCAGTGTAATTTTTGTTGAGAACTTCGATCGAGCTGAAATTTTGCACTGACGCTTTTATTTAAATGGAATGGACCGATGGACGATAGAGCGGTAAAATTTTGCGAATTTTCCCAAACCTAGTACAGAAAACACCCTTTAGTTACATACATACAAGTCACACCCCCCTTCCCCCTCTCATTATTTTGAGAATTAGTGGTTCGTCATCGAACTTTTAGACCACCCTATATATGACTAAAACAACTTCTCAGCCTAATTTTTGATTGGCTAGCATTAGTTTAGACAAGGTGACATCAGCAAGAATTTTCAATATGGCAGAAGAGCCATCACTCTCTTCTTTCTGCATTGAACCCAAACATCAACAAAACGTTGAACTAAAAAGCATTTTTGTAATAACGTGTTAGTGAAAATTATCAAGAACGTGTAAAGGCGTGAGTTTTATGAGTTTTCCAAGCAATATTCTGATCCCTGTTTATACTGTTGTTCAACTGTGATTCGCACCTTGGTGTGAAGAAAAATGAATTATTGCCATTCATTTTAATTTCATCTGCAAGAAGTATATACTTTCATTTCAAAGTACCCTGCAGCGAACATGCAATGAAGCTCAAGATTACTTGAAGCAAAATTCCAACCAATGGTTTTTTTATGAGTGTAAAAATGCTGCCCACTATCAATCAACGTAATTGTGTTGTCTCAGTGGTGAAGGGTCAAGGAGAATGATTGCCAAGTGCTCCTCCAAAATGTTCCTACTTTTAACGCAAAACTTTAAGTATTATCTCTCTTGTTTGTACTACTATATACATCCTGCAGTGAAATGGTTCTTGAGGAGAACCACAGGACTGTGCGAACTTCAAAGAATTTGCTACGGAGCGCCTGAAGGAGCTCCCAGGAACTTCAGTGTGGAGCGCTCTCTCTTGCAATCTAGAAGCAAAGAAATCCAAGCAGCAGTCGCTTACTTAAATAGGACAAGTAAGGAGCGGCAATTCAAAGGAAATAAACTAGAATTTGCTCTCCAGTACATTGTTGAAACTGTGCTTGTAGTGAAGAAAATTAACGCTCTCGCTCATCCGAAGTTTCCTATTTTATTGAGACAAAGCGTTGAAGTCGTGTGGGGTTACAATCAGCTGGAACAAGAAATTGTCTGTCTAGCAGGTACTCATTTTGACTCTTCCAATAAAGACCATGAAGCCAAACTCATGGAGTTATGGTCCCTCCTGAAGCCTGATGCTCCTTTAAGGAGCCGAGTCACCAAGCAGTGGCAGGAGATAGGATTCCAAGGCACTGATCCTAAAACAGACTTCCGAGGAATGGGAGTTTTAGGCCTTGAAAACTTACTGTATTTTGCATCTAAGTACAACTCTTCCGCTAAACAAGTCCTAGCCCACTCCCATCATCCTCAATTTGGATATGCCTTTGCTATAGTTGGAATCAACCTCACTAGTATGGCATATCATTTAATGACAGAAAAGTTTGCGAAAACGCACATGTACAATGTTTGCTCTAAACTGCCATCCATTGATTCATTTCATTTGTTGTATTGTTACTTATTTGTAGAATTTGATAAGTTCTGGATTCAAGCTAGACCTAAAGATATCATGGAATTTAGTCACATAAGAGAAAATTTTGAAACGAAAATTCGAAAAATCCTTTCAAGTAACCAGAGGGCTGCTTTTAAAGTACAGGTCTCCAATGATTTGTCCATTTGAGTTGAATGCTCTTTGAGAGTCAGGTCCGTATTTAAACCATTTCTGTCTATCATGAAAACATTTAAAATGGAAGAGGAATTTTTCGAAATAGGTGACTCTCATGACAATTTTTATCATTATATATTCAGCTCCAGGTAAATTTGCAAGGAAGACTTGTCTTTTAAATAGATCGAACACAGAAGCAGTGCCAAATAACACTTTTATCAGTCGCCAAAAATTCTTCAGTGGGTGTGATGAAATAAGTTGATGATAGCATTAGTTCAATTTGTTTAGGGAACAGGTATTTAATATGAGCATTTAATTCTGATTGAATATGTACTTATGATTAAAATTGAGAGGTGCATGTTGAAAACCCCTCTAATGTGTCATAACTTATACTCTCAACTTATTATGGCTAATCTACAAACGCACCATATCTCTTGATTTGCATCGGAAATGACATATAAATGCTTAAACCCGATCAGAAAGTGGATTGAGGTAAATTTATCTCCTCTGATCGCTTTTTTCTGTAGGCACCCCTATCCATACTGTTAAATTCTCTTTCAACTGGGTTTTGTATGAAAACACTTTCTAGATTCGAATTCAACCAGCATTAAAGAGGTATGTTGAAGAGTCAAGAGTTTGTTACAAGTGTCTTTTTCGATGCGTGTTGACTTCATATTTCCAACTTGCATTGAATCGTCTCTCATGAATGTCATTGATCGAAGAGCTAGCCTTGATCATTAGCGATATTAGTTCTGGTGAGCACGAGGCATATTTTCACTATTAAAGGTAGCGTATTTTGGACTGGCTTGGGTCCTTTTCGGTAATTGTTATTTGGTGCTGAAACTGGTGAGATATCTGTTTCTAGAGATAAGGAATTTTCAAGAGGAAATTAGTTCTAATGGATATGATGTTCAGAAATATTATTTGGAGAAAATTAATTAATCAATAAGTGAGATGGTCTTGCATATCCTTGATCGCAAGGTAGGAGGGAAGATGAATGCGAAGTCTAGTCAGTTAAATTTTCAACAGGGCATCATAGGAACTTAAATTCTTCTTGGAAATTAAATTCTTTTCATCAATCAATTTTCTTGGTCCTCAGAATTATAGCTTCAAGTTCTCCAAGAGATCTCATTGAATAACGAACACTAGCAGTGCTCAAAAATTTGTTTAATGATCAGTTGATTGTTTTTTGCATCGGAGACTCATCAATTTTTTTTGGGTCACTGCAGGGATGCAGAAAACTATTTCATTTGCTCTACCATTTTTGCCTATAGGTACCTTTTCTTTCGCTCAACTTTTTTAAAGTAATGTGGCCCTTTCTTCCCCTCCTCACTGTGAATTTTACGAGGTTGCAGGTAAATAAGAAAAATATTTTATCATTTGAAGAGGTTCATCAATCTGATTTGATTTTGCCAATCGAAGGTGCTTATTTTTTTGTAATAGACAATGATTTTTTTTTAAATCAAAACATGTTCCTGTTTTTTTTTTTAATTTGTATTAATTTTCTTACCTCAACATTTTTTCCCCTTTCTTCTTTTCCACCATTCTGGAAAATTTGCATTAATTTGTCAACTGATAAAAGTGGAACACCATACCCTCTGTTCTGTGTGACTTCCAAGCAGAGGTGAATTAAATACAATTTTTCCGCCAGGGGCTGGCAAAATTTTGCTGTCCTTATCACAGAAGTGATGATTTCTTTTCGCCCTTCAATTTTGCTCCATGAAGAAAGCAACAAAGAAAAAAAAAAACTTCAACCTTTGCTGCCTTGCTTCTACAATTTACTATCTGGGGCTTTAACAGTCCCCAAAGCTTCACTTTTGATCCAGCCCTGTTCCTATAAATTTTAATATCTAAGAATGATCTGAAAAAAACAAACAACCAAAAAGCAAAATAAAGTGCCTCCTTTTAAAGAAGTGCATTTTTTTTTACACATCTGTCAAATTGAAGCCACTGATTCCAATCAACTATTTTCCCATTTCCTTGAATGAAATTTCTCACATTTTTAAGTAAGATTCCACTGCTATCAGTCACTAAGTAAGTAAGGAGGTTAAAATTAATGTACAAGTTTTAACTCAAACCCTCATATAGATCTTAATATTGAAAGAATAATTTGAAACTAAAGGTAGCAATTTCTAATTGAAAATCTGTTGTACCAGTGTTTAGCTACACAGTTTTATGATCATCTTTCACCTATGTCTTCATAGTGAGGCCAGAAAAACATGTATTTCTATTGCAGTATTTCAAAATAAATTGCTCCCCCCTCCTCCCCCAAGAAAAAGATTCTGTGATATTTTATATGAAATATGCCGAGAATATTCTGGATACAGTGGTTGGTTGTTCTTCAAAGAAAATACATAAGTATAAGCCTGCAACTCTGCGAACTAAATGTATTTTTCTAGCTTCACTATCGATTTTTTATTTCGGGAAAAATGTAATTAGAAGTCATTGTCGACAGTTACTGCCGCTAACCTTTTTCGTTTTGGGTAATTTTTATTTATAGCTCATAAATAAGAGGTATCTCAGATTAGGACGATAATGTAGTCAAGGGGTATTTCTGAAAAATTAGTCTGTTAAGTTTAAGACTTGACCTTCGAAAATATTAAAAATCAGAGCTTGCTCCTGCGCCTTAATATTGAAATCTGAAGTTTAAATTATGCACTTTTAATTCTTTTTTCAATACTTGCACCACTCAAGATCTCAAAATCTAATAACTAGATAAATTTTATCTTTGATCAGCCTAACAGCAATTAGTGCTGCCAAATTTCCTCTCATGTTTTAGTTTTTCAAGCAAAAGCCGAGGTGACATAATGCCTTGAAAGTCTCTGTAGCTTTTCCTAACTTCAAGAGAAAATACACTTGAAAGCAGTGTCTCTGCTTGGCTTATTTTGAGATGCTGTGCATATTACATGATGTGCTGCATCTCATTGTGTGTCTTGTATATGATAGCGTATTTTAAGATAAACCTGCCGATACTGCCAACATTTTAAGAATTTTACTGGCTAAGGGAGATAATCAACTTTTAAAACTTGTAATTTTTTGAAAAAAGAGACGCATTTTGTGCATATTATTTGCAAAATGTTGACAAGTTCCATATGGTGTATTATTTGTCTGGAAAGTGCGTCTAAGTGCGTTCCAATTTGGGAATTTCATAATACGCGGTCGCAGGGACACTGCTCAAAAGTTTCAAGGTAATATAAGAAGGCATGCAATCTTAAGGAAATAGGTTCATAAATGCCTATTGAAGGACCTGTAAATTAAGAGCTGTTTTTTGGTGCATAGTAGAATTCATTGCTTGTCCAAATTATTTATATTAATATTTTCAGAGCAGTTTTTAGTGTTAATCACTGCCGTATTTCCGTTCTCTATTTTCCAATAATCAAATTTTCAGTACTTAATTATAATTCTTATGGCTTTATGAAAGCTTAAAATGCACACTCAACTCTTTGCAGGCAAATCTTTTAGATACTTCAGCAATTCGCTGTGATAATCAATTTTTTAGTAATTAATTTATTTGAAATATTAATGAATGTAGAATGCATAATGGCAGTGAAACTTCAAAAATGTGTATCTGGGTTGTAATAATTCAAAATTTCTGCTCCTATTTTATTTTTAAAAGAAAACTGAGCCAATATCATGGCTTACAATTTTCACGAAATATTCTTCATATTGTAGGGGAGAAAAATCACCGAAGTTTTCAAGCGCTGATGTTTAGTAGTTTTCCATGTAGAAAAAAAATTATGACAGGAAGCCTGTAATGCAGCAAACCGAGATATGCATTTTTGCAGTTCTACCCTCAAAATGTAATTCAGGAAGTTGAAGGAAGCAGTTTTATCTTAGTGAGTGAACATTCTTTAATATGAAGTACCTCCCTGATAAATTTTCAATCATTTTAAGAGGATTAGTCAAAAGAAAGGACCAAAAAAAAAGAAGAAGGGGAGAAGGGGAGTTACTTCATGAATATAAATAACTATTGATATTGATTTCATACCTTGATTCACTCTCAGTATCAAATTTCATTATTTTGTGTTCTGTAATATGCAGAGAACATTCTGTCCATTTATTTGTTGGTCTTCCCGAAAAACATTTCCTCTTAAAATGACTGGACTTATTTAAATATTTTTAATATTTTACCTGCCTATGAAAATCGGGGAGGGCGCTGGTTCTTATCTTCTATCTTGAATGCCTGTCTGTTCCAATACAGGAGTGCTTCAACAATGAAATTTATATTTTAGGTTTGTTCGATTCAGCAATGCGCTGTTTAAGTATTTACTTTTTTTCTCTTTGTTTGAGTGTTTTATTTCGTGCAATAAATTGCATTAACAGAGTGTAATTTGTGCAATGCCCTAATTTTAATGGTGTCACAACTTTCAAAGGTGAAATACATTAAAATTGTGAAAAAATATAACTTGTTTTATCCATTGCCATCACCTTTCAGAAAATTCCTCTACACGAGTAGACCAGAAATTATATTCCGTTTTAGACTCCGAAAAATAATTTCACAAACAGTCTAGGTTCTAACCAGAAAGTCGCAAAGCATGACATTAGTATGGTTTTTTGTAGGCGACAATTTTGCCAGAATTGACTGCGAAACACAGATATATTTTTCAAGTGCTTGGTCATTGATGTTAGAAAGTATGATATCATACAAATCAGCTAACAAGTCGTGCCTTGGCAGGTTGCCCTGCGCCTCACAAAAATCCTTCAATTCTTTTCTGTGTGCCAGGGAGAGGGGTAGGCTTCTGTAGCTGTTCTAAGCTATCCCCAATTCACTAAAACTTGAAAATTATCAATTTGTAAGAGTGACCTAAGTATTTACAAAATCTGAAAGTTGAAGGATTTGATATTGGAAGGTGTTAAGTGACATATTTTCAAATTTGAGAGGAAAAGGGGCGAAACTGCAAGATGGGGCTTCAACGAATTCAAATTACGTTGCAGACCTACAAAGTAAGCTAGAATTAGAGATTATTTTTATTCTGGATGATCAAAACCTCCAAATGTCCAAAATGCCAGCTAACACCATCCATCGCTGAACCGTTCAAATTCACGATGGAATTTTTGTCCCAATCACTTGGCAAAAACATAGTAAAAATATTCGATAAAAAAATATATTCTTAAAAAATTATGCAACAAGACACAGGTAGAAAACAAACACAATTACAGTTTTTTAAATTCATAAAACGTATTAACAAAGTACATACATTGATAGTAACTTAAGACTGTACACCATTTTATATTTTGTCTCCCAGAATGCATGGATAAGTGGAAAAAAAAAAAAAATCAGATTGCACGAGCTGACTTTTCGATCACGATGGGTGTTGCGATTATCTTTAGTTCTAAAACTCAACTCAACTCAAGAATTTTCTTAATTTTATCATTACCAAGAAAAGTAAACCAATTTTTCATTTTAAACCTTTGCAAAATAATGAAACATTTTTCAGATATAGAAAAAATCAGAGAAATTCCAAAAAAATACGGTCAATTAATTTTTGACCGTCAAACACAATAGAGTGAGTTTGAGGGTCCCTATCTAAGATCACAAACTCTATCCAAGTATTTGACCCCCCCGGGTTATAAAACAAGACTCACTTAGTGTGAGTAGAGATATCCTATCCTATCAGTTTTTGGTAAGCTATATCATAGCAATTCCATTGAAGTAACTACAATAAGAAGACCCTTGCCAATGGCCACCGGAGTTTCTTTAGCTGGCAAAATGAGCTGTTGTCATGTATGTCCGTTTTACTGCCCAAGCGATCCTAAAGACAGACATACTAGGCAACAATGATTCGAATAGAATCTTCTAGAATCTTCCAATCGAGTTCCGATAAAGTCGCCCATTTTTGACAAGAGCAGCCTCATTAGAGTATATTGGTATCTCAACACAGGCAGTAACCGCTAAGGATTTGTTTGAACAACCCTAATTGTGAGTACTTGAGAATTTAAGAATCATAGGAACCTCACCTCAAAGGGCATATGGTAGTTTTGAAATCAGAATCCTGATTTCAGCAAATTTTTTGAAGAAACGAACGAATAACAGACTCTTACTTCAATCAATTAGGTGCAAGTCAACTTGCAATAAAAGTTCCACACCTACGGACTGATAACCGAGGTCCAAACACTCGTGAAGTGGGCAATTAATAGTGAATCAGAAGCCTTGCAAATTTTTTATCTTTGAGAGGAGACAAATCTTTGTTTCCATAAGTTTAAACACGCTGTCAAACAGGAAGAAATGTTCTTCCTTCTCCCAATCTACCGAACTAATTATTGTTTATAGTGGTCCAGTAGCTCTTTGAAATTCCCAGACCTGCTCTCTTCCCTGAAAGTCTTTTGTCTTACTTTCATTTAAGAATTAAAAATTCAGCTTGTTATTTTTTGGTAGCCCTAAAGCTGTCTGCAAGAACTTGTTGCTTCCTGCATGAGGGAACATACCTCGACTGTGCTGTTTCATTATTCCTTACTTACATTTTACTTGTTCATTGGAGAACCGTCACATGAATTTGCCTGAAATTTCCAGTGATTTTTCTGTACCCTTATGAGCAAAAGACTCAGAAGTTTTTTGACTGATTTATGCGATGGTTCTTGCATCAAAAAATTCAATGTTTGTAGAGATACTGAAACAATGCAGACAAGATACATTCTATCACACAGATGACAGCAATCTGCTTGCATGAAGTGTGAAAGTTGAGGGTGCCCATTTATTCCATGTCTTTAACTTAACTATTAGGTAACCTAAAAATATCTACATATTAGGATTTAATTTAACTTTCATCTTAAAAACACACCAATTGAAATTTGTTTTTAAAAAATGGACAGAATTCTTGAGTTCAAAGTAAAATGCGGTATAAAAATGATGAAAGACTTGGTAGTCATGGGATGAGGCCAGAGGCTCTGCGCATCTCTTCACTTATCTTTGGCCTGTTCTGATGTTTTGGAGGATTTCGACTTGGATGCAGAGCTTGACTTCGAGGAGGAAGTAGATTTGGATTTTTTCTGCTTTTTCGGTTTGAATCGAAAATAGACACTGACAAGTGTTATTAGGCTTATTATAGCTGATACCAATTTTATAGTCCATGGGTTCTCTTTCAAGTAGTCAGCAATCATCTGCGTAAAGTCATCACTGGAAGAGAAAAGAATACAGAAGATGATAGTAAATCATAGAAACCACAGAAAATCATAGTATTTAGATGAACTATAGGAATGCATGACACTTTTAAAACTGTCGGTTGGAAACAACACAAATCTATGAGGGCATTTCAATGCTTTCTAGGATTTTCCGTGATGCTAAGCTGGGCCTAGTGACCAGTATGATCTATTAAGAGATCTAAATTTTACAGGAAACTAGTCCATAGACAGGAGAGTTATGGTGGAAAAAGTTGTTGGAAGTCTCGGAGCACATATGAATGACCAACGTCGAAAAATGCGTAACTCAGACTTTGACATCGTAAGCCTGTGCTCAAGTTTTATTTATTTGAGAGAACACTAACCAACAGATTTTATTCAAATTTTCGGTGAAGTTTCTTCAATCACTGTAAGCAGAGTTGTTCAATAACTTCCGACCTTCCTGTTATCAGCTATTGATACTATATAGTCCAGGCGCCTGGTAAGTCTACCTGGAATTTTGGGTACACAGCGATTTTTTTGGCCCACTTTATGTTTTTTGGGTCGCTGAATCCGAATCTGAAGTTTCCGCACGCGTATCTGGTGAGCATTTTCCGCTATTTTGAAAAAATGGCCTAAAAAGGCCTTTTTTTGCGGTTTTTTTGATGTAGCGGCTACGGATGAGAAAAAGTCCCGGATTTAGCTAATGTTTTGAATAGCTGACATATTTTGGAAGAAAATGGTGTATACATATGTTAGGTTTGCTTAAAAATTGAGGAAGATACAGCATCGTGAACATCGCGCCTATTCACGTTTTCGCGGCGCACCCGTCAACGCGCGATCCGGCTCGCCGCGGTCAGCCAAGTTCCGAAGCGTTCTAAAGTTCCGAAATCCGAGGTTCCTCAATTTTTGAGCAAACCTAGCATATTCATATACCATTTTCTTCCAAATTTTGTCAGCTATTCAAAACATTAGCTAAATCCGGGACTTTTCCTCATCCGTAGCCGCTATATCAAAAAAATCGCAAAAAAAGGCCTTTTTAGGCCATTTTTTCAAAATAGCGGAAAATGCTCACCAGATACGCGTGCGGAAACTTCAGATTCGGATTCAGCGACCCAAAAAACATAAAGTAAGCCAAAAAAATCGCTGTGTACCCAAAATTCCAGGTAGCCTCATTTTTAGCTACCAGGCGCCTGGACTAATATTTGAATCTGAGATAATGTGCATTGGATGAGTAAAATTCATACTCAAGGGTATGCAAAATTATTTTTTAACTTACAATGGTGTCTTTGGATGAGGGACAGGTTCTGCCCGAACATTGCGGTACCAATCTGAAGCAAACTGCACTAAAGATTTGGCATCCAACTTGGACAAATTATACCTGTACAATTTTCCATGCCTGAAACTAATAGAAAAACCAATATTAAATTTCAGTTTGTTGCTGAAAGAATTAAAAATCATTAAAATCAAAAGGTTATACAAAAACAAGAGATAAAAGCTTCAAAAACTTTTCTCACAACAAATGAACAACAATTTTGTAGTGGCAAGGCCGAGGGTTATAGGATGGTATCCTCAACCAGGTTTTGTCTTGATGAGATTTTCAAATTGTACATTGTTTGATTAGATCTGCTATTTCAAGGATGAATTTATAGAGACTTTTCTGATCCTGGAGACAGGGGCACAGTTAAAACTTGTATTTGCCATTCATAATAAGTCGAGCCTTTTGATTTACTCACAAGTCACATTACGCCAGGATTAAAGTGCTTGTCATTTTCTTAAATTTTAAATGTAAAGGAAAAAATTCCATGCAAGTAAATCTATATTTGAGATAAACTGACTCATTTAAGTAAATCATTTTAAACTAATTATTGGGGGACTACAAATTCATCAATATGAGAACACTAAGAACATCTGTTGTATTTTCATTAAAAAGTGCGATTAAAAATAGGAAAGACACAGCCACACCGGCAAGTAAAGTGCCATGGAAAGGATGACATAAAAACGCCTTATAATGAGCTATCGCTAAGTTTGAGATATAAAAAAGCATAATGAGCAAAAAAAGCCTTGGGCAAATGCATTAGTTAGCGATTGAACAGAAATATTAGCCTGGAATTTTTTTCATATTAGAGAAGAGACAAAGAACTTACAAGATGAACACCGGAACCTCAAAAACTCCAAAACGCCGACAAGTTACACGCCCAGTTGTTTGACGGTTGACACGAGCCACATTCATTTTAGTTCTTAACTTTGCTCCAACAGTTTCCCAACGAGCCTGCAGACGTTGACACTCCACACAATCTGTAGAGTAACTGAAATTTACACAATAGAGTGGGTATTATCTTGGAGGTATAGTTCAAGTAAAAAATAGAAAAAGAATATGCAAGAGACATTACTCAGGATATGGATTATTATTGTGGAACGAATTGATGAAGAGAAAGAAAGATTACAAAGAAAAATATGGCAGGGATGTTTCATATGANGGGGGGGGGGGGGGGAGAAATTTGATGCTGTTTTGGCTGCGAAGTGAGTCATCTTAAAAATTTCAATATTTTCACTTAATATTTGCCTTACAATTTTTTGAAAATGGGCATCATTATCACGGTGTTTAAAAAAAATAGATAAAAAAACTAGATTTGAGAAGTTCATTGAACCTTTCAATACATAATTGTGAATGAAGTATTCCCCCATAGTTGCTAAAAAGTTAAGTTGTTTTTTCTTTTTTATACATTTCTGAAAGGTGGATACAGGTCTGTGTTTTGTTCGTAGTGTCTATTTCTTACGCAGATTGTGAAGTTAGGAGTGTGTTTTGGACTTTCCCTTGGGACACATTTAAACGAAAGAAGGCTTTTCAAAGGCAAAGAAGTCATTTCATCTAAAGGATTGGTACAATATGTAAGATACGGACACTTACGAAATTGCAAGGGTGACGACTAGTATGAAACGATAGGGAAACAGAAGGTATTCGCTAGAAGGTCCTTTTTCAAACCTTTCACTGTGCATGGACTTCCATATAAATGCGCCCAATTAGCCCAATTCTACAATGAATAAAGAGGAGACGTTGAGATTTAAAAAGTGAACTTACAACATGACAAACCAGTCACCAGTGGTGGCCCCTGATGCTGCTTGAGTGAGGTGTTCAAAGTTATCATCATTTAATTCCTTGACAGCAGGATCCTTATTATAGGTAAAGGTGTGCAAAATTAAATCATCAATGATTTCATCTGAAAAAGATGACACAAAACTTCAAAATTAAATTTTAAATTTTGAAAATTACAAAGGTGGGAATTAGGTTCACTGAGCCTCTTTCAAGATCATCATGGCCCCCTTTTTAAGGGTACTGAAGATGAAACAAAAATTATTTTAAGACCCATTCAGCTTTGCAAGTCTACATTTCAAAAAGTAGTTTACTAATTTTTATTCATTTTTGTATGATACATAATATTGTTAATTATTCTCCAGTTCCTTAGTTTTACAGAACATGTCAGGAATCTGAATTCATTAACAACGAACTAAAATAAAAATGACGCTTGTGATGATCAAATTATATTTCCTGAAGGGGAGAATTAAATAATGTACCTAGTATTATAATTTCTCATTTTGATATTCTTACAACTAAATGATATCTGAAAGAATTATACCGATTAGAAGGCAAAATACTGAATTAAGAAAGCTAGGATATTCTCAGCAAAGTGCAAGTTAATTACTTATTAATATCGTTTTAAAGAGTATCCATGTTTACAGAAGGAGAAAAAGAGAAAAAGAACAAACCATCGTAAAGTAATGGGACGCCATGTCTCACAAAAACAAGTTGTGGTTCAGATTCTGGTGAGTACAATCGTAATAACTGGCTATCTTCAACTTTCACTACCCAGGCATTCAGCGAGTCAACCAAGTCCTCTCTAATTTTTAAGATCTCATTTTCGTACTTTTCACAAGGTGATCCGCAATTTTTTTTCACTGAAAGACAGAGAAATTGGCAAAAATTACTCATTGGGAACAAAGAAAAAAGGAGTTAAAAATTAGGATTGGCTGTATAAGAATCAGTATTTGTACAGCGCCATTGTATCTGGAAATCTCAGGTGGGAACGATCTTTACAATCTGTTACGAAATGGCATAACCAGGGAGAACTTGAGGGGTGGAGCAATTTTTTTCTGCTGCTTTAGGATAATTCTCGCCAAAGAATAAGTTACACAATCTTCATTCTGACAAATACCAGCCTTCTTACTTTCGAACATCCCCTCACAGGCTAAGGAGTAGGGGTGTTCAAACGAATTCTTGCCAGTACGCTATCGGTATCATCTTAAACTGGTACTAGTGACAGTACCGACAGTGGTGATGACATCGTTAGCAGCCGGCCTTATCGGGGTTTTGAAAGTTCGCACTCAATGCGTTGTTCCCCGTGGATTAGTTAGTCAGATTGCCTGGCGCGGCGGCGGATAAAATAGATATACAAATGGCAACAGCTTATTTTCGTCAGTTAGGAAAACTCAGATCGCTGTCGGTGAGAGCGCTCTTATTGAAGCTATTTCTTAATGAAACGTTTTCGGTAGCTTACTGACAACCGATAGAACAGCCCTCCTGAGGAGATTTCTTAATACACCATGCCACGTCAGGCAAGATGTTGTTTGGAACTGTTGGTTCATGAATTCATTGTTAGAGCAACTCATCGCAAGAATCCGAGTAAGACCTCGAGGGTTCTCTGAGGATTTGTCCAGACAGGATAAAAACTGCCGTAAAGTATATCTGATGGTCAAAGGCAGTATCAAAATCCATACGGTAGGATGCACTTACCAAATAATACAACAACATAACTTTCAGATCGGTATAAATCTAACAGCTCATCATCATTCACCGTTTGGAGACCATTTCTACTATCTGAACTAACATAAGTTAAACATGAGAGCAAGAATATTGACACTGAGAGCACATGCAACATAGTGGAATCGATCGGCGTATGATTACTTAATCGGTAGAACCTCGGAGATTCTACGGGAAGTATTGCTATAAATGTGGGCTGGAAGCACAGATAAATGCTTGAAATGAATTATACTTTAAGAAAAATCCGGAAAGTAGGAATAATTATGAAAGGAATACAGTAATGACACAGGAAGAATCTAAAGAATCTGTCATGTATGCAAATGCAAAACCGTAAACGTAAACAACCGCCTGTTAGGTTACTAGGTTAGGTTAAAGGAAAAGTAAACAGAGCGCGAGCAGTTAAAAGTATCACCGCCATCTTATTACGTACGTACAAGTATGGTAAATAACAAACTGAATGGCGACCAATGATGGCGACTGATTTCTGATATATTTTTGGCTGTTCATTGACTACGTCACTCAGTTGCAACTAAAGCATTACCCTTTCCTTTTCTTATTTTGCTTGTGTATGTTATTTTATTGAGTTGTCAAGTGTCAATGCTGTTATCTTTGCTTTGGTGTTATCAGTGCTGGTATTGGTACTGTGGACAGGGAGTTCTTTTGCCATTAATTTTAAAGTCTTTCAATTTTCACGAACGTGACGAAGATCAATAAATAAGCATTTTTTATCTAATTTTAGATTAGAGGACTGATTTACTTTACCAGCATGGTCAGTTGCGCTGTTTGCGGCTGTTCTCACCGAACGGGCAATAGAAACAAGCCAGCCTCTCAGGTGAAATTTGAAGAACAGAACAAAAGGCCCATGAAGTTCTTCAGGTGAGAAGCTGTTGTAAATTCATGATTTCCAACAAAGTATTCGTAGCATCTTGTTGAGTAGCCAGTCTGTGCTTACTCAAATGGACGTACTTCTCCTAAACGAAATTAAGCGCCATAGGGAAGGAAGGAAAATGCAGGTTGGATTGGCTGGTGCTGCGGACCGCGGAGCTCATTCTGTCCTATGCTGACAATGCTTTTTCATGGCGCTCAGTTTTTTTTTACTGTACGCGCTCTCCGGGATTCTAAAATTCTCAGAAGGAACTCGAATTAACGCTCAGTTCCACGTAGCAAAACTTGGTCCAAATGTGCTTAGAAGGGTAGGATAACTTCTCACAGAAGTGCCCTCTCAAGTCTTCAATTTTGATGAAAACTAGTGAAACGGGCGGCCTTCATTACCTTAACGAAAATTTTGACCAGACACTTTGTTAAATATTATTTAGCTATATGAAGGTGATTTGTCCTGGGTCCATGGCATGTCAAACTAGCGTGCAGAATATTGCATCGATCAAGTCAAAATCTTTCAAGATTTTTAGCTTAATCAACTTAAAATTCAATCAATATTTTAGCTTTGATCTTATAATCAAAGAGAAAACTTCAGTAGCTGTCCTGTGGTACTTTTAATATTTCCAGCTTTTCATTAACTGCTCTTTGAATTGTCCTGCCAAGAAGTAATCCTTTATTCTCTTTTTCCAGGTTTCCATTAAGTAATCCTGAAAAGTGGCAAAAATGGGTTCTAGCTATACGCCGAAACAATTTTACTCCTTGTAAATATTCCAGGGTATGTGAAATACATTTCGAAAAGAAATTCTTGAAGAAAGGGGTGAGGAGAGTTGGCTGCATTTCTCTCTCACCAGATGCGATCCCAACTATTTTTCCAGCACACCCACCAGATTTAGAGAAGGTATAAAAATTTGCATGATAAGGAAATATCGTGAATTTCTGATAAAAAATTACTGAAGGCGAAAAACATGTTTTAATGAAGAGAAGGAATATTTTTACGGTTGATAGTTTAGAGTAAAGTCAAGGCATGTCCTAAGCTCCCTCAGTCATCAAGGTGGTTTTTTTCTGGAATTTTGGCATGGTCGAACTGGCATGCGATACATCGCATTAATTCATTTAAGAATATTGGCAGATTTTAACATTTTAGGGGATAAAAAATCCAAGGACGATTGGCCCTGCATGTAAACCTATAGAATCATTCTCCAAAAAAAATTGTAGAACTGAGAGAAATTAAAACAGGATTCTTTTTGAGGGAAAAATGTTGCATTTGATACCTTTGTATTGAATGCAAATTTTTTTGCCCTGAAGAATTGTGCTTTCATTTCTTTCTTTTTTCAATTTTTTTGGTCAAATATGATCCATTTGGCTCTGCGCAGGGGCGATCGGCCTTTCTTTTATTAAAAGTTAAAATCTGCCAAGATTTTTAACCTAATTAATGCAATACCTATCAGAAGCAAGATCAGCTGTACCATGAATCGAAGATGAATCACCTTCAGTAGACGCAACCTCTAGGTCCTCCAGGATCTACTTGATTTACTTATCCCTAATCTTATCTCCAATGAGTCAATGGTTTGCTGCCTCAATTTATTGATGGCTGCCTGCTTTCCTGAAGACCCAATTTGAAAGCAGAATGGCCATGTTCGAGCAAGAAAAAAGAAACAAATAGAAACGTTATAAAGTCCACTTACTTTGATAGGAAAATAAATGTCAAGACATAAAATATCTGAAATAAGTCATAAAGGTTGATGCCTCTCTGCCAATGATGTAGATGATCTAGTAAAACCTTCCAGTTATCTAAAAAATCCTTTCATTCGGTTTTTCTTTTATTTCAGTTGGCTAGTAAAACCTGATTTGCCCTCTCAGAACAAGAAAATATGAATTTTCTTCCCTTTTCACAAGGCTGCTATGATGGACTCGTAAAAGCGCAGAGTTGGAGAAATTAGTGGTTATCACTTTCATGCATGACATTAATCGAAACACTTGGCTCTTGGTAAAAAAGCTTAGCACCTATTAATGTATGTTTGGGAAATAGGTATCAACTTCAGACACTTTTAAGCAGCCTGTACTTTACCAGGTTGGTTTCCTCATAAATGTAATTGCTGAATTTCGAATGATGACTTTAAGACAGTACTGAGGATTGTTCGTTCTACTGGGATGAGCAAAAGATACACTCAATCTTTCAAGACCCCCTTTTAATTGAGTTCTAACGTCCTGTTGTAGAACATTGTTGTGTGAATCAAGGAGGAAATTTTTTTAGTCTTATGGACGAATAAAACTTTAAACGCCTTTTTCTCAGTTTGAACTTCATGCAACCTGGTACATTTCTGTCAAACATGATCCAGTCTCAGCTTAACAATTTTTAACTCAACAAGTCAATGAAAATGTTTTTTTGGATAGATAGCTAATCCAAGTCTCTAATTTTCACTAAAGAGTTTTCCTTGGGACCGAGAATAGCAGCAGAAACTGGAACATTGTGCTTGACTCTATGACAAAGAAATTAATAAGAGGTAGAGCATTTCATCTACCGGAATGTTCAGTCTTACATTCTAATGTGATTTTGTTTCGTTTTTGGTTTCCTTAGGTTCATTAATTTTAGTGCATTCATAATATTGTGCTCACAATTTTACCAGTGTGAAATTTTCTGTCACTTTTTCCTATTGTTACAAAATTTGTGCCAAAATAATATAATTGTTTGATAAGCAGTGTATAATTTCCTTTAAAGCTGAATTCTTAGCACTTTCCATCAACTTCTTACTTATTTTGCAATGGAAAAAAGGCCATAAAACATTTCAATGGTATGTACCGAAGACAGAGTAAATGGATCATAATTAACATTATTGGAAAAATTGAGTCATTCATACTAACAATAGGCTTCCTAAAAGATGTATATGCGTAAATGAGTTTGATATTAAAATCTAACGCCTGGTGCAAAATCCATGACTTCGAAAGTTGCGGATTTCATGGGTAGCAATAGGCTGCTGAGCAGTTTTCTCATGATGTCCCAAATTCGTAAAAATGTGGTTACAGGTACTCTGAGCTACTAATTCACGAAAAGGAATCCATCATTACTTTTAGATACGGCACTTAAGAGCAAGTTGGACTGAAAATGCATAATCATCTGTCAGAGGAACTCAATCGAAGTTCCTATGATGGATTGTTGCGCCGCCTTAGGTTGCCAATTTGCATGCTTTAGAAGTTGTACCATTTTACAAATTTTTGTTGTCATTGTTGTTGTCTCAACTATCTCACTTCCGCAAGTTTTGGTATTAATAAGGTTGTCTCATGTACCATATGTTCTAATTTATCAACTGTCTTAACTTGCATATTTCTTTGTACACAAGTAAGGATAGTTGGGTGCAAGATTTTCTGGAAAAAAGAAAATAGCTTTTTGAATGGGAATCAATAAAAACTGAGTTTCAACCAAATTTTAAAAGAATCACTTCCTTTCATCCTCAACAAAACAAATTTCTTTTTTAATTGCCAGATAAATTGCGATGTCATTGAAGCGTTCGCAAACTCATGCTATGAGCCAATGGTCTCTTATGTACATTAACTGCCAAAAAAATTATGATGAGGAAAAAAGAGGAGTCTTCCATGAACTCCTTATTTCAAGATTTTGATAGGGAACTATGCAAATAGAGCTTTTCACTTGAACAGTCAGGAGAAATACCTAATTTTACATGTTTGAGTCACTGCAAATATCTCCGTTACTACTTGAACACATTACATAATTTTTTGGGCTATGACTTGATGATAAACTTTATAATAACCTTCTAAAGTTTTATCAAAATGTACTAAGAGCCAGTAAGCCCCCGCAGGTGTGCAGGGTTATTTAAAAAAGGTTTGATGAAACCTGAGGTCCGCAACCACCACAATTTAAAAATGACAGTCACTCACAGCAGTGCGAATTGTACTCGTACCAGACAGGACTGCCATTCTCTCTCAAAGGAGGCATTACTTGATGATTGTCATGGAACTTTGCCCTCACCCAGGCTCCATAATGAATTTTAGTTGATTAGGCTTTGAAAGAAAGTTTCTTTTTCCCTCTTTTTTTTTGAATTTAATTAGGTATCAAGGAGAAAAAAAAGAGATTAACTTTGAATTCCATGAACATACAGAACCATACATCTGTCAAGAATACTTATTTCAATCCAATATTTGCAATGGCCATTATTTGGTAAACAAACAAGAAAAGAAGAAAAAAAAAACAAAATATGACAGTACATAAAAACTTGTCTGCCCTTATCGTTGGCAGGCAATGAAAATAAAATTAAAGAAAATCAATAAATCAACAATTGAATCAAATTTTAGTAGCAATCGACAGTTATTAGTTATGCTCGAATTCAGTTCAATTATATAAAAGTATAAAAATGCAAGCCACCAAAACTAGGATTTTGAAAATATAATTTAAGAAAAGGTGACAAACAAAATTTTTGACTAAAAAGAAAAGTTCATTCGGTTTTAAGGTTGTTCAGTACAGATTAGCTGTTACGGACCGTATTAAAAACTGTGTACAATTCAAATTATTTACAGACCAGTTGCAATAAAAACACGACAGTATTTTTAGTTTACAAATATGATAACAATATTAAATTGACAAATTTTTACCGTAGTACGGACAATCATATTGTATTTTTGTCAATAATTATGTTTGCAAAAGAATCAGTTGAAATGATGTCTTACTTTATCTTTCCTCCAAAATGACTGTTTCTTGAGGGTAGAGTTTCAGCTCTTGCAAGGTTTCTTCACTATCTAAACTGGTGAGCTGAAAAATCAAAGTGAAAAAATGTTACAGGCTTGCATAATAGGGGAGCAAGAATGGAATGAAGTGATTTCAGTTATCATTTAATCAAAGGACTGCGCACACTATACCAAGAAATTTTGGCCGGCTAAATTTCGACGTTTTTGGTGATGATGATCCTTTCAATCTCCTGAGCATGATGACCTTTTCAAATCAAACTTCCTGTGGTCCTATGCGAGTCAAGAAAAGCAGAGTTGAGAATTGAATTTTTCGGTCTTCTTCCATGCGTTTCCTGATGGAGATGTAGGAGTGTTATTGTAAAATGTAGACGCTGCACTTCGCACGCTAATGTCATTTAGAGGATTTAATTAGATCCATCTGTTTCATTTTCCCAGCCAGTGAAGAGACAAAAGCTCTCTTCGATCACTAATCAGATGTTGGAATATTTCTTCTCGAGAATACATACAAAAATGTAGAAAAATTTACTTTCTAACCCTGCTCCTCTCATGATTAAAAATCATTATCTCTCTCACAATCTCCGCCCATAAAAAGTTTTGCTTTAACAGCTCATCGTGCTCCCGAGGTTGTAAGGAACATAATTTCAAATAGCGGCGATCAGTAGCAGGCATAAACTTTTCTTGTATTATGCGCATAGTCCTTTGGGACAGCTTAACAGGAAGAAAATATTGAGCTGAGGTAATATGATTTCCTTGCAAACCGTATTTCCTTGTCCATCTCAATTCACAATTAGTAATGAAATTACTACAGTAATACTTCTTTTTTGTACCTGAAATATTAGCTGTTGGGTGGGTCGAATCAAAACTTTTTTGTCGTTTTAATCATACTGGTAAAAAGTGAGCTTCAAATGTTATAAAACTGATGTGCATAAAATTCCTGCCTTCTCTGCCACCACCCTTGATGTAAATTGGGCACCTTCAGGGATGGTCAGTTTGAGGGAAAAATCCAAATGAACAGATTTTAAATATTTAAGCCTCAATCCTCAAGACAATTTTTGAATTGCGGCTCTTTCAACGAATTTTTCAACCGTTTCGGCATGCAGAGAAAGGAGCTTAGTTGATGGAATGGATTCGTAACTTACATCTCTCCGGGGCCAACTAGATATGACTTTAAATTCTTCTTGAGGGAAACCTTTGACAACCAGAAAATTCAACAGAGCCTGAAAAATTAGATGGAATAATGGTAAAATGGAATTAAAAGATACTTATTAAAAGACTAATTAAGAGCATAGTAATGTAGAGCACATAAATTGATTAAATGTTTAATTTTGTAAAATAAGTATATTTTTATCGATAAGGTCTCTTTAAACAACGAAGTAAATTCGATATATTCAATAATTCAATTCATATAAATCAAATATTCAATAATTTAAAAATGAATTTTCACATATTCAGAAATTGGATGGATTTCTTCTTTGTCAGAATCGTAAGATTTCTATTATGGTTGCCCAACAAATTGTTCGATGACTCATCGAACATAGGAAAAGCTGGTAGGGTGCTTGGCTTTTAATTTTTTATTATTTAAATTTAGACTCTATTTTGAAACTAGGAACTAACATTTCTGGCTCAGTTTAACAACAACGAATGTGCCATTATTTTCCCTATAGACACCTATTTTTGACGGATGAATCAGAAATTGTAGTTCCCAATTGCAAAATGTAGTACATTTATTCACAGCCAATTATGATAGGAATGTTGTTGGGTTTAACAATCCGTCTATACACCCAACACTGTTCAGTAGAGTCAAAACATTGCTTCTGCACTTTCTTGAAGTTGAGTGAGATATCCGTTACAGTGGCTTGTTTTTGGATCCATTTAGCCGCATGAATACACAGCATTTTACTCAGAGTGATGATTAGAACCAAAATTACCTTTGATTATTTTTCTTAAATTTAACCACTCCAAGACCTCTTGTCAGATAATGCGATTAAAGTGCCTTCGAAGGAATTTTTTTTAGTTGAGACGTAATGACCACTGTGGCAATCATAAAATTCATTGTAAAAAGTTGTATGTTTTTTTCTTACAGGATATTAAAAACACAATAAACAACACAGCAAATGTCACTACACTGACCTTCAATTTATCACTAGTGTAAAATTTTCTTTCTATACTCTCTCCTTTTGGTAATCTAAAGCGAATTTTGGTAATGCCTACAGTTTCACCTTCCTCAGGTTCTTTGGGTAACTGTTTTTCTACTTCCCGCCTCTGAGCCTAAAAAGAAATAAGAACAAACATTAATTGCCTTGACAAAGAACAACATTATACAATTATATTAGAAATACAGCTTTAAAATATGTGATGCCAAGCCATCCTAAAACAGACGAATAATTTACGTTTTTTCAAATTCAACAGTCAAAGAGATTTTAACAGTGAAATCGGGCGGTTTTAATAGAAATCTACCTGACTTGTCTAATGTCCTCTCATTTTTCATTTTATTGACAGATAACTAAACAACTTAAAGTTGAGAGAGTTTTTGTGAATTTTCCATGGATTCTAAGAAATTTTCATAAATTTCAAGTCAAAATGTAGCTCTGATTTCTGTTAAGAGAATACATCACAAGAGAAAATCAGGCAACATCAGATTACGTTAAGCTGATTTTGGTTCAATCATAAAATTTGGAAAATGCTCGATCATACCGTCATTTATTGATGTAAGACAGTTTAATGGGGAAAGAGATCCCTGAGCCAATAGTCACATAACGAACAGAAATAGTGGAAAAGTTCACTGCAATTGACTAAATGAACATTTTCAGTAATATTCCTCAGTTTTTTTTCAAATGATATTGACTTATGAAAACTGAGTTTAAAGTTATGCATTTTAAGCTCCCACTCAGAAGCGTGGATGGAATATTTCCAAACACCATGTTGGCTTTCTCGGAGATGCTTTTGTTTGAATGGGAACACACAATTCGCAACTTCGAACTCGTCTTTTGTGAGTTGACATGGTCCGGGAGAACCCAGGAATGGTCCTGTAAACTGAATGTACTCTCTACTTTTCAAAAATGGAGAAATTATTAATTATTAAAGATTATTAAAACTGGTTGGAGCCCTTTTTCAAAGTTCACGCTGAGTTAAATCCATGAAAAAGCTATAGTCACAACTTAACTTTTAATTGTTGGGTAAACCTATAATAATAAGTAATATAGGTAGACAATTGAAAAGAGGTATACAATTTTTAAACATCCTTACCTGTTTTCTGGCTTCTGTTTCTTGCCTCTCGTTTTCGAGTCTTTCTTTTTCTAGCCGTTCAGTGAGTTCTTGCTGTTTCTTAGCCTCCTCTTTGGCTCTAAGAGTGCAAAATAGAAAAATGGATAATTACTAAAATTTGATTAATCGACTATAGGAAAAAATTTAGAGGCCCCTAAAAATGTTCGTTGAAATATCTACAACGTATGATAAAACCACTTTGCGTAACTTAAGTTGTTTACACTACTGAGTAAATTACAATAACTTTTCATTCTGACTCATGACAATTTTGCATAGAGTACACAGAGTCGTAATGTAAATGGGAAAGCTGGCGCCTTGTTCTGCTCGACGAGTTCCGAGCCCGGTGTGCGGGTCACTTTTTCGATAGATATTCGATCAAAAATGATTTCATGACTGGGTCCACATGTATCGCAAACAATCGATTGTTTATTGAAAAAGTGACCCAGCCCCACACAGGAGTCTCGGAATTCAGGACCTGGAAATTGCTTAAAAGTGGTACCAGCTCTCCCACTTACATTACAACTCTGTATAATCTACGAAATTCTGTCACACTTTCAAAATTCAGATCACTAACATTAGATGAGTCTTGATAAAAAGTTAATGCAATCTGCGAACTAATCTGCAACATACTTAGGTTCTCCATAGTTGGCTCTTGGAACAATCAGAAACCTTGTATTTTGGCAAAAATATATGGTCTTATTTTTCAAGCACAAAAATTTGCAGGAAATTTACTTGAAAATTGGCTATTTCTCTTAAAAGGGGGATTTTTCAGCTTTCAGTGAAGTGAAGTAAATTTCAACTATTTGAGTATTTCTCTTTTAAACTGGCCAATGTTAAACCTTCTTCTGCACTTATTGTTGTATGAGACCTCAGTTTCTTCTTTATTTACTTTGGCTTTACTTACCCTGCAGAAGAAGCTCAAATTTGATGGTCACAGCCAAGAGTACGACAATTCAGCCATGAATCAATTTTCTGTACACTTAAAATACCCTCGAGAGGATAATCCTGAGCTTTCAGTTCTATCCTCATATCCCTGCAGTCCCTACTCAAGAATAGCCCCATGCAACCACTCCTTGAGAACTCAGATCGCCAAGCCGGGCATCGAACGTCGGACCTCCTGATCATAGAGCCAATGCTATAACCATCACAGGAGGCCGACATGAGAAGGAGAAATGAAATGGCAAGAACTAAGAAACAATTCCTGTAAATGGCAAAATCCTGCTGATCAGGCCTCTGGGAAATCAAGCTTATATATACTGTACATTCTTTACCATCAAATTCAGTGCATAGATTTTTAAGAAAAACTCTTGTTTTAAATACACTTCACTAGAAAAAATATCCAAGTAGAGATAGAACTCTTTAAATCCAAGTGATGACAGAAAGCTTTACCTATCCATTTCTAAGGACTGTTGATAGGCTTGATCTTGTTCTGTTTTTATCATTTCCCTCGCATTTCTCTCTTCCTCTTCACGTGCTTCTTTTCGCTGATGTTCGGAGAACAAGTCCACTGCCTGAATCAAACTTGTAAGCAGTTCATTGACTCCTACGTTACCTGTGTAAAAACCGAAACAAGATACTTCACAAATTTATAAACACCACAATTCAAATGTTGGGAAAAAATTTGGGAGCCATCCTGGCTAGAATGAAAGATATTTAGGGACCAAAATGGCTTTCCTACAATAATATATCATAAATATTGAATGGATTATAATTGATTTCAGAAGTTTGAAATCTGATTAAATAATCAGATGCCAACTTAGGGCGCAACTTTAATTATTTAAGCGCTGATCAGAAATATTTAGGAGCATTTTGCACATGACACTCATCCGATACGAACACTTCAAAACACTAAAGACAAAGTATTAATTGCATACCTCAATTTTTTAAATTAGGACCCCCCTGTTAATACCCCCCACAGACAGCTATGATGGCTTCAAGATGAAGAAATTTGGATTCCTTGGGGACAATAATTGTTAGTTCCTGCCGATCCCGACCTCAGCAAACTTGGAATAAGCCAGGAAAAAATCTGGAGTGGGTAGACTGGATCACCCTGTGTATGCTTCAGTAAATATGGTGCCAAGTTGTTACCTTAACATTTGTTTTAGAACGTTGCTACAAAACAGCACTTCTGTTACGGTATTATTGCCACTACTGACGTAATTCGAAGTCATATTCATTAAAAATATCATTCCACCTTCTTAAAGCCTTGAATTTGAATAAAAGAAGTACAATTCTTTTCTGGGAAAAAGCTGAATTTTACTAACCATGAACAACTGTGAATATCTCAATATTAGAACGCATTCTCATGATTATAAGTAATGCAGGCAGTCTTTCAACCTCCATATTCCGAATGGTGTGGGCAGCCATCGTGCCTAGACTATTCGTTACAGATGTGAGGAACCTAGAAAACACACGTCAGATGAAATTAAAATTCAAAGGAAAAATTTACACCGAAGGGAAGATAAGATAGTAAAAAGAATAGAATGATAGACTGATTTAGTAATTACGCCATTCTTGCGATATTTCTCATATCAATGTGAAATGCTTCCAACCACAAAAATGGAACATAACCAACCTCGAACTGAATTTTGTGTGCCGTTAAATGTGTAAGTGTGGAATTCATTCCTTTATTAAAGTGAAATTTTGTTGTCACAAGTTGTTGACTCAACGAAAATATGGAGTTCAAGGGACTGGACAATTTCTTTGGTACAGAGAAATTTTCATTGTAATATAAATCTTCATAGAGAGAGCAATGAAGTCTAAAAATCCATGTCATTATTCTTCTTTTTTTTTTGCTGACTTACATGAGAATATACAACTTTTTTGCTTACGCAAAGGGGGGGAAAAGTTTCTTTTGGAGACATAATATTTGGTTCAACTTGACATAGTTTGAAAGAGCAGAATCTTACTTATTTCTATTTGACTCGTAGGTGAGGTCCCAACCCCAAACAATGAAATTATCCTTTAAAAACTGCAGGACTGAATCGAAACACAGCAGCTGGGTGCAGAAGACATTCGTAAGGACGCTACCCTCATGATGAAGGTAAACTGCTAATAATTTCCGCTGAAAGCAAAAGAGACATGTTATTAGGACAAAGAATTGCATGATGAGAAACCTAAGTAGGATTCTATAAGGTCCCTGCGTATGTGTACTGGTACAATGGGTCTACTGCAGAAAAAAAAATACAGCATAGAGAATAGATTTTTAAACTTACAAGACACAAATATCTTGATCAGTATATTGAAAAACTCTAGAGTACACTCCTCGACCGATATTTGCCCAGTTTGCACAAGATCAAATTTTTTGCCTCCATGGGCACTTTTTTTCATTATTGGCAACCAGGTTTGCTGCTGATGTGAGAAACCTTAATTTAAATATACACGAAATTTCAATATTGTCATCATTCTTTCAGCTTGAAATCAGCTGTTTGTAGCAGCATTTACCTCTTTATTCAAAAAAAAGGGCAAATTTGCAAGTGTCTAAAACAGCTAAAATCATATGCAGGAAAAAGTGATAATAGTTTATGACATTGTTTACATATGGCGTTTAGTCAGGTTTTCTTTCAGTAAAAAAAAGCTAGTAAATTAAATTAAGGTAAAATCTTCCTACCGGGCCATCAACAAAATCCTATAAATTGACATCCTTCTATAAAAAAGTAAAATTTTACAAGGCAAACATGTAAAAATTGACACTCCTGAATGAAAAAAAAAAAAAAAAAAAAAAAAAAAAAAAAAAAAAAAAAAAAAAAAAACACAAGAGCTGCATAATTTTGGTGACATCACATGTACATCTTTGCATCGAATGATTATTTGTTTAGCCTCCTTCATGAATCTAAGAACTATCATGAACAAAAATTGATGTTATCAAAAGTTAGGAAAAAGAAGGTGACGTAAACGGTGGCTAAATAAAACTATTTGCTCAAGCAGAATGATTCTCATCTAAAGAACTGCGGATTAATTCTGACCCGTTACTCACCTCTTTAGCAGGCTTGAAACAAGCTTCCCGGATAGCTTCATCTAGAGTGCTGGGATAGAAGTCAGGATGATTGGATCCATATCTATTCCTGAATTCATCAGCAAAATGTGCACAGCCAGCGGTTTCATCTTCTACATTGTTAGGGACTGGAAAAAAGAGGAAACAAGTTCATACTTCATCTACTACATTTTATCCTTTATCAAAAATTGAAGTGCGTTGAAAAACAATGCAAGATAGTTGAAATTTTTAGTTGAATCGAAAATGACATTACCATTACAATGAATCCAGTTAAAAGAAAATATATGGTGAAAAGCATCAAGCTTTTCCAGAAGTCACGGAGGTGTTAGAAAAGATGAATGTTACACTTTAGGAGTGCTTTTTTAGGAAATACTGAACAACTTACGGAGTGGTTGTAGCTTTTTTGAGGCAACATCATCGACAAACATTTCATCATCAACAGTGAATGATTCTGAGGCATCTTCAAATTCTTCGAAATCTTCTGAGCTGTCGGAGGGAATATCAACCACTATCTGTAAAACATTAAAATTCTTTGATAAAGGATGCGGCTTACAAATACTAATTCTATTACGTACAAAATGCATGATGTTATACTGAAGGTAATTTGTCCCAGGTTCTTGCCATGGTTGCACTGGAGTGCAATACATCGCAACTATTAAGTCAAAAGCCTTGGCAGATTTTGAGTTTAGAGACCAAAAGAGGATTACAGCTGCTGCGCTATTTACAACCAAAAAAATTACAAAATTCAGAGATTGGATGGCAGGATTCTTCATAAAGAAAAATGTCGTATTTAATATAAAGGTTGATTACTATATCGAACCCGCTAGAAGAGGTTGGCCTAGTAAAACAGATTTTTCTTGCAAGCTAGTGGGCCAGTTTTCAACTTTTTAGGCTTGTTGGATAGCTGAGACTGGTGGACGCATTCCATTTTATCACATTCATTTATCATTGTTAGTTTTAGAAAAATAAGACCATGAATTTTACTTTTAGAACAACCCTTGAATTTAACACTCAGGCAATTCTAACAGGATGAAATTCTAACCACGATATTGCTTCCTAATTGAGTTTTGACGTATATTTTCTAAGAATCTGTCTTGGAGATGTTTCAGGAAAAACTATAGACCGTATTCGATGACGGTTCGATGTATTGTTTGGTTCAAAACAATAGAACATAACTTCAAACCAAACTATTAGGATTTAAACTGGAAAAGCTAAATATGAGAAAATTCCTAACAATTTCACTTTGCATTGGCATTTGGTAGGTACTCAAAAGAATAAAACATCCGTTACAAAAGACCCGTTCCCTCCAATTTCTAAATTGACTTTTGAGGCTATGTTTATGTTTTGAACCAGTCGAAGTTTACTCTGCGTTAAAAGAACACTTAATACTGAACGATATTGCTATTTGAATCAACATTCGGAACATTGAACAATACTACACTTTGTTTATTCTCTAGGGAAATTATCAGCTAGTGTGTGATCCCGCCCTTCCATAAGTGGCTGTTTATCCGCAAGGCGGAATTAGGCCAATCAACCTAAACACAACAACAACAACAACAACGATATCCATACAATCTCACCTGTTTGATGTATCGAATATGATCTATTGAGGGTTTAAACTTCAGTCATACAGAATGGCAAGATGATTTTGGACAATTTGTGTCTCTTGCTTAAAATATTCATATTAAAATTATTAATACATTTTGGAACTAAGTCTTAAAGGTTAGACAACGCTGATACATGGATAACTAAGACAGCAATTTCCTTACCCTTTTGCATTCTTTCCTTGGGGGTGCATCTGGCGATCTATTGACTGATAGTGGATGCTGAGGGTACATGATGCCTGAAAGCCCTAACTCAGTACTGTCATCTGTAAGCGATGAGGGCCATCCGGACCAAACTTGATGGCGGACGTGAATTGAAGTGATTGCTGCTACATCTTGCTTGATTTCCGAGATTAACTTTGTTCCAGGATACTTCAAACTATAGTCTTTTTTTGTTGTTTCATCGTGAACGTTCAGTGTGTAGAGCCGTTTCAACTTTTCTTCTTCGGAGCTGCTTGGAGCAAAGGAAAATAACAAAAAAACGCACCATTAGACAAAACGGTTATTTAGGAAATTTAAAGTTCCGGGGACTTCAAGGTTTTAGTTCACTCTTCCATAGCAGAAGAAAGTTGAGGAAGGTAGAAAGAAACATTTGGCATTGGGCAGTGATACATACTTTGATTGGGATTGGAAGTGCCAGATGCTCAATAATACAGGATACTTTGGGAGGAATTTTTCAATAAATTTTCTGAAAATACAATGGGCCTGTTGCATGCAAGAGATACAGCCGTGCGAATAGACTTTTTAGAGGTTAAATGACACGAAAATTACGATGGTCACATTAAAAAAGTCTGAAATACACTCCTTACTGCGCAATTTGCGTTGTTAGGAACGCGCTTTTTCAAATTTCCCGCGTCTGGGGGCAGTTTTCTAATCACCGGAAACGAGCAAACGGCGGGCTCGGTGATTTCCGGAAGATGCCGAGTCGTCGTTGTTGTTGTTATTTTTTCCTTTAGCTTGTTTACAAACCCAACGTGATCTCCTACAGTGGTCCATATACGCTTTATGCGGTAACCAAATCGATCAACTTTTAAATATCCAACGCAGTCCTTCTACATTTCATTTCACGATGTCACGAGCTCCGATTTTTAGGTTATGTTGTCAGTTTTAGTTGACCGGAAATAGCCGCGAGTTGCCGTTAATTGTTTCCGTTAGAAAACTGCCCCCAGACGCGGGAAATTTGAAAAAGCGCGTTCCTAACAACACAAATTGCGCAGTAAGGAGTGTATTTCAGACTTTTTTAATGTCACCATCGTAATTTTCGTGTCATTTAACCGCTATAAAGTCTATTCGCACGGCTGTATCTCTTGCATGCAACAGGCCCATTACCAGAGAATTGGAACATAAAGAGAACTATTCAGTTGCAAAACATTCCAAATTGAGTTTGGTGCTTATTTTAACTCTGAAGATGACAATTTAGGCAAACAAGATGTTTGAATTGACATATAAGGAAAACGTTAATTTTCACGTACGACATTATTTTGAAAATTTTCAATTGCCAATAAGTTTTGCACCAAATTTTGATGAGAAAGTACAGCCTTGTCTCCATGGGACGTTCCATGGGAATGTTCCAAGTTCAAATGAAATTACTAGGCTTTTCCTCCATTGAACAAAACAACAACATTTCTTCTTCTCTCTGAGTCGCTTTTAGGACTCCTTAAGGACTCTGCTTGGTAAATACTGCAATTAGTATTGATTAACTCAATATTGATCCTAACTTTGCAAGTGAGATATTTCCCTGACAGAAATCCCATAAAACGTCCCGTGGAGACAAGGTCTAAAAGTTATAATACTCAAGTTCTAATTTTTCATGTGATTAACTTCCATATTGCATTTCTTCAGAGATTGCTTTTTAAATGGAATTATATAAAAAGACTGATACGAGTAAGTTATTTTGAGTCAAAAGTTTTTAGTCGGTATATTTACACAAGTTTTGTTTCATTTGGTGCAGGTAGTAATTATTTAGCTTTTCAGTGTTCCGACTTCACCAGGCGCCATGTACAAACTTCGCCTATAAATGAGGCTTTGGTGACTAAAAACTCGGAGCTTGGCCAAACTAGGCGCCCAAAGCTGTCAGACACAATCCGTCGCTCATTTTTGAAGCAAAGGTCCTACTGTACATTTTAACAGTTGATTTAATGTATTTGTGCTAAGAGGAACCATGTGCATAAGGTTTGCACGGTTCCTTTTAGCATAAATCCATCTAATTTGCACCCTTCACAAAGATTCATTTGCCAAAAAGGGTGATGCATACACAAAAAATCATTTTGGCCTGTAAATTGTAATTTGTGGATGGTCCCTAAGACTTTGTCTTGCCAGCGAAGATAGCTCCTGAAATTTTATCCTAAGAAACGAACACTGGATATTAACCACCAAAAAATTATGATTACATACCCTGTATTAAAGCCATTATTTTCTGAGTTCAGAGAGCTGACAAACAAGAAAGATTCATGGGGTATTTTCAATTTGGTCAATGTATCAGCATCTGATTGTGGTTCATTGGCCCATCCAGCCAATAACTGCTGACAAACTGGAACACCTGTTTTGCCAGCTATTAATGTCTTCACATCCCCTGAAACCGCATAAAGAAAATGACTTATTAGTCACTAAAAGCCAGGTTAAAACTGAGAGAGTGCTAAAAAAGCTGTAAATTGAAGCCCTAACAAATTCCAGGGTCACCATCAAACAATTTCCAATCGTGCGCTCCCACACAATTTATGAAACCGCTTATGGCGGCAAGCCACCTGTTCCTCCAATTACAGCGATAGAAACAGCTCATAGCCCTGACCATATGAGCCGTAATCTGGACATCTGTGCTCACTTTGCGTCCAACAATCACACAAGATGCATAAGGCATCACCTTACAGACATGCAGCCTGCCAGCTTGCTTTTCTAACAACTCTCCTTAGGGCCACCATTTGTCGAAGCACATCTCTCATGCGGTCATGATGTGCTTTTCTTGGGGAGGGAGGGGGGGAGCGAGGGTATAAACTTTGGGGACCACATTATATTCAACCTCAGTAATGTTTAAGATCCATTTTCACACTCCGAGTTCTTCCTATGATCTCTTGTAGAAATTTGAGAAAGCCACAAAATTTCAGATCAGCTGCACTAAAGAATGCTGCTAATGCATTTCAGGCTGATACACTAAAGCAAATGGAGAGAATGACAGTAGAACAGAAACTTACAGACGGTCAAATTTTCAGGTACAGAAAACTGAACGATTTCATCCAGGTGAGTTACAGTGAAATTAATACGCCGAGCTCTACTCTTGCATTGTGATGTGGATGGTGACTCGGCAAAATCAGAGGCAATTGTAATGGGTAGCTCAGTATTACTACTTGATGAGACTGGAGTTGGTGTGATTACAGATGTTTCTCCGTTAATCCGCTGTTCTACCATCTCGATGTCCGGACCAGCTTGTGCCTGTGCCATTGACTGGTTTACCGCAGTCTGTGAACATTTTAAAATGATTAGACACAAAAGAAAAACAGAATGCATTCATACCATAGTTTCAATATCTTTTCGGATACTTTTACTCAATAGCGCATTTTTAGAGTCGCAAATTCATTCTTTCTGGCAAAAAATTGAAGCAAAAATTTTAGAAGCTTGCTGAAGAACAAGCCAAAAAACTGCAAAAAACTATTCTCAATAGGTGCTGCTGCCCATTTATTTCTATGCACTGATGCAATACATGTTAGGTACCTGCTACTCATTTTTTTTTACCAAATTCTGAACTATGTGTGAAATGTAAAAGGACTGCATAATTGCAGCTGATTTTGGGGAAGAAATTTCGAGAACTCTAGTATGGCTATTTTTTCCCTTAAGGATGTAAATAAAGAAACTTCAACCTACCATTAAGTCCCAATTGGCAGCTTCCAACTGAGTGAAGGCCTCTGCAACATCTTCCACTCCAGTGCATGCCTGCAATCAGAATCAAGATATTCCACTTCTTTTATTGGATGGAAACCATACATGGCAAGTTTTCTGTGCTGACACAAACTTAATATTTAGAGGGTTGTCAGAAAACATCGTATTTCCTCAACATAAGTAATATTTACAAGGTAAACCCACTACTAAATACCACAATAAAATGGATAGGATTCAGAAAAATGACATTTCCCGATAAGTCCAGGGTTCTGACCCAACGTAACCTAGGTACTTGAGACAATTATACATCATACGTTCACCTTTTAAAAAGCATAATTTCCAACTATTAGTTTCTATTTATTTGTAAGTTCATCCTGATGAGTGTTTCCTTTTAATCTTCTTCCACATGGTATTCATGATATTTAAATTCAACGAACACTTTTTTAACTATTTTCTGTTTTCTTACAATTTCTTTTATGTGAGGCTGACTTCTAAGAGGTTTTTTCTGACAAGCAAATTACTAGGGTAGGACAAAATACAGTCGAAATCATAAAAACTTTTTTCTGCATCACTTGCTCAATTTTTATCACAAAAATCAACACTCATGGTCTTGAAGTATTATCTTGCATGTACATAAGTATTGCTTAATGACACTTTGTTGGTGCTCAGACCTCAGTAACATATCTGACAAAGAAGTTTTATACCAAGACCATGATAAGCGAGAAAATCAATTAAGTAACCTCCTGACTAAGAACTGAAGCCTTGAAAAAATTTCCCTCTGCTCAATTATGATGTACCTCAGCATTCAGATCTTGGAAAAAGTTGATGTAACTGACGAGGAGGAAATTTGCAACGAATTGCACGTTGCATAAGATGCCCGGAGGGACTAGTCTGTAAACCTACATATTCTTGGAGATTTTTTCTTAGAGAATCTGATTAGACTATAGACATAATCAGTCAAAGAAAATTATCATATTCTATTTGTCTGAGCAACATTATGACTACAAACATAGGAAACTGAGAGGTAGAAGGTAAACAAAGGAAATGAGGAGATACCTAGGACAAATGATCCTTAAAAATTTAGTCCAAAAAAGCAGGAGGAACAAAAAAATACACTGTATTGCTACTCTTCTGAAAATTGTCTGGAAGTGGGCAAATGTCTGGAATCGAATATGATATACTCAGAGGACATAATTCAGCAAATAAAGAAGGACATCAAACAATAGAATAGTCTCAGTGCTAAGACAACACTTCATAATTTGGGGACTTGAACCACTTCTCTTGATGAAGGGCAATATCTGTTACTAACAATATTAGGGTCCTTTACCTTACTTATGCATCTTATGCATTACTATTCTGGAGAATTACCAAGTCAATGTGAAAAGGAAGTACATTGGAAATAGTGTTGATGAGACTTACCTGAAAGTTGGCTAATATGGTCTCTCTGTTCTCATCGGATTCTGACATTGTAATAGGGAATTGAAAACGATTACTGATTAAAACTTCTGGAACATAGTAATTCGTTCAATAACAAATACTTGCAGCCTGGCGTAAAAAAGGGAGAAGAGAGTGATAGCCCTGAGATTTCACGAATGACACAAGCTAGAATTTGTTCTGATATGAGGAAAATTACAATGGATATAAAATTGAATGATTTTTGCTCAGTTCTTCTTCTTCTCGTTGTGATTGTTGATTATTCGGGGAGCCGCATTCATCAGAGCCTAGGAGTAGGGGCGCGAAATTTGAACTGCCGCATTACTCATTTCGTCACCTTCCAGGCAAAGTATCACAAGCGCCATGCGACGTTTAAAAATTTCCGCCGCCATTTTATTTTTTTACAGAGAAATTGTTCAACGAAGCTGTCCGAAAATTTCACTGAATTTTCTTTGTGCTGCCGATAAAATTTAGTGAAATTTCCAAACAGATTCAACCAACAATTTCTCAGTAAAAAAATAAAATGGCGGCGGAAATTTTTAAACGTCGCATGGCGCTTGTGATACTTTGCCTGGAAGGTGACGATTTATTGTCCGTCAATCCATCCTCATGCATCGAAAAGGAAACTTGGTGTTACAAATTTTCATCACTTTTCATTTGTAATGGGAGATGACAGTAAAATGACGGGCACATTAGTTTTCCAAAAGGAATTATGGCAAATTTTCCTCTTTTTGTTACTTAGAAGTTCAAATGATTTCTTCCCTGTAACAGGAGGCAAATGGGCTATAACAAAGTTAAGAAGAAATTGGAATTCATATTATCTCACGATCAGTTCATTGACTTATCGATGGTGAAAATGCAGAAGAGCGTGGCTCGATTTTTGACGATTTTGAGTTGCATAAACGTGATGTTAACGATGTCGTCTATCTGCAAGCAAGAGACTATACTCGAAAAAAATCGGAAAGTCACCTACTTAAACCCGTAGAACTTTTTTGCGTAACTCGGACTTATAAGTGCAGAAATGCGTAACTCGTTCTGGCCCCTTCATTTGATCCGGCGCGCCATACGCAAAACGCGCTCTCCTCAGCGTTTCCCGCCTACAGTAAAAGTAGACTGATCAGATGTTCTGTGTTCTTTTAATATTTTCGGGAATTCCCTGGTTTTGAAAAGTTGCTGTTGGGCTCCTTGGATGAGGGACGGTCTGGTGGTTGGGCTTCTTGGAAAACAGAGGGGCAGCCCCGAGGGTTGGGCTCCTTGGATGTCAGGTGGGGCAGCTCCCGAAGGGTTGGGCTTCTTGGATGTTCGGTGGAGCAGCCCTCGAGGGGTTGGACTCCTTGGTTGCCAGGGGGACAGCCCCAAGGGTTGGGTTCCTTGGATGTCAGGTGAGGCAGATAACAGGGGGGCAACCCCGAGAGTTGGGCTCCTTGAATGCCATGTGGGGCACCGCCAGGGGGTTGGGCTTATTGGTTGCCCGGTGGGGCACCCCAGGAGGTTTTGCTCTCTAAAAAACGCGTATCACATTGCCGAAATTCGTATCCTGATGTCTGGGCCAATGATTTGCCTTCAATTAGCCGGCTATGCAAATTCACTGTCGAGACGCACGATTAGTGGTATCAGAATTTCGCATTAAGATTACGCAGTGGGTTGAAGGCCCTCTTCTGTATCGTATTTGAGTGGCCCAGTGTAAAACGCTAATTGCAGAAATACGTACCTATCTCGTGATCAAATGACATTTCTGCCGTATTTTCTAACAGTTCGAGAAATTATTCAAAATGCGCTGATGGAATCTGAAAAAGCATCTTATTCTTGCTATCCTTAAGAATTATTACCCTTCTAGTAACAATAAAGAGGAATGTAGACAGTTTTTTCACTCTCCTGGAAAATCGTGTTTCCCGAGATACGCACCTCTGCACTTTTGTTTATGTAGCTGTCCTAACTCCTTTCTGCTGAGCAAAGGAAACATGCAATATTAGCCTCTGGACACCACAAAATTTTTTTGAATAAAATACAAATTTTCTAGTACGCTTTCTGATCCAAAGTTTCTGAAAATTGTGAGGAATAGTATTTATGATTTTTCTCATAAATAAATATTTCATCCGGAAAAAGGCAACATTTTAATGTTTATCTGGCGTTTTTCTACAGTGCGTCAGCACTGGCCACCAGCCAAGATTCCATAGGTAGGATATTGACTGACTCTTTTGGAATTTTTCCAGTGCTTAGGTATTTCATACTATTGATTTTTCTGCGGTTGAAACTCGGATGTGCAAATTATAATGAGTGATCAACCCAATTAAAAAAATGTTTGTGAGTTACGGGAATTCCTCTCTTCAAACAGTGTTAAAGTCAACTAGATGGGGTTTGGCATAAAGAGGCAGAGTTATTGGACATACCATAGAAGCACCTGCCTGAATAAGAAAATCAATTGTAGGTATATCTTTTCTAATCAAAGCCAATAAAGTTAACTTCTTCAATCCTATTCGATAACGACATCCAATAGCACCATGAATAAATCCTACCAAAACAGGTCTGAGACCTAGCTCACGGCTTCAACTATTTGATACCTGCAAGAACCATTTCAGGTTTGTTTTCATTATTATCATTCATTTTATCCGCACATTTTATTTATTTATTTTTTTGTTGAAATCTACTTTGTTAGTTAAATTAAAACAATGTCAATGTATGTGCTGGGTGAAAATTTTTTGATTTAAAGAATGAGATAGAGATACGTTCTTCAATTTCATTTTATGAATTAAAAAGAAAACAGATAAGTAATGAATATTACACACATGTGATGGTTACAATACAAAATAACTTTAAATTTACCATTACACAATGTTTGAAAGAAAAAAAGATGAGATAGTAAAATAATGATTAGGAACTCAAAAAAAAAAAAAATAAATAAATAAATAAATTAATAAAATACGGAGTAACTTAAACATGTTTTCACTTTAAAAAGGAGGTTGTACTTAGGTAGTGAAGGTTTAACAGATGAAAATGTGATAAAATATTCTCACGAATATGAGACGATGCCGTAGTATTTGTATTAGGCTAAAATAGTAATTTATAGAAGCATAAATGCGCTTAAGTCACAGAATTCTTAAAGTTGTAAAAAAAAATTTGTACTTCCTACGATTATTTTGGAATAAATAAACAAAATGTTGACAACCACATATTATATAGAACCAAAAGCTAGGCAAATCAATTATAAGCCAGATCTTACAGCAAGAGGCTGTGGATTCACACAGAAATGGTGTTAAAACTCTATTCACCATCCAGCTTTTAACTTTGGAAAGTGGTGCTTAGAGTTAACTCAGATTACATAATTCTCCGAGTTCAAAAAAAGGGAGGACATATTACTTATTGTCAGTTTTGATGTAACTAAAAAAGGAGAAATCTGCTGCTTTGCTTAAATTTATGGAACACAAAATATAAAAGAAAACAGTTGCCAACAATCTTTGAAACACCAGGTGAGATGAATTTGTTGATGGTATTGTGTAATGGATTTATTGGGTAACAAAATCCTTTTCATTGGGCCCAAAAGGGGCAATAACATGAAACAATGGATCGAAAATATCTTTCACATCTCCCTGTTTAGAAAATAGCTTAATATTGGTCAAGTTAAATTTATAGAAAGTTCCTTGTTAGCTGAAATGTTCCACTTTTCATGGCTGGTAGTTTACAGGATTTCAACCAAATTTTGTGTTTTAGGAGCTGTGTTGAAGAGCCAACAGCTTAAATCCACTTTTTTTGGCGAACATGACTTATTTGGTTGGTTCTTTTCTGGCTCATTTTTTTCCATCGAAAAAATTCTTTCAGTAAAAGAAGCATTCATTCTGAAAGAATACTTGGAGAGTTGTTAAATCTTGAGGTAAGAGAACAATTGAGTGCACAGATTAATGAACTAATTTTTACAGGCACAAGGAACTTTCGTTTCTGGGTTCAACCAGGATTAAATACATTCATAGAAATGTGTCTTCAAAATTTTGATGAAACAATTATTTTGCCCAATTAACAGAGATTTAAAAATTGAGTAAAAACAGGAGACTAGAAATCCAAAGGAAATTATAATACCTACGTTGAAAATTTTGAGCAATTCTTAGAAATATTTTCTAGTAGCATTGACTGTCAAATTTGCATTTAAAAAAAAACCATTAAAAAAATTATAACGATGTACGAGTTGAAGCCCCTTTTCGTTCTTTCTTGAATAAAATTTATTTTCAAGAAAATGTAGGAAAAAATTGGATTAAATTCTACAAGTCACTTGTATTGATGCTGAATACAAAATTATCTGTAACACAGTCTTTTCCTAGTTGAAGGAATGTGACTTCGCAAAATTTTCTCTTGCAAATTGAATGATTACAAGAAAGTTGTCCAGTCTTTCCAACGAAAAATTTCACTGAATTATCCTCAGCTTGTACCAAAAAATGAGCAAACTTTTGAACAGAAATTACAGCCATGTTTCTGGGACACATGAAATTGCTTGAATCAATTTTGCATCATTGGCAACTGACACTACATTCCTTCGTCTGGGAAACATAAAAATGCAACAAGAAAAAATAAACTTCTACATAAAATTCATGTAAAATAATTGCGTAATGAAGAATAAAAAGGGTTTTCTGACTCGAATATTTTTAAAGTTTTTTTCAAGAGTTTTCTCTTTGAAATTAACAAGTTTTTTTTTAAAATAGCCAATTCTACTAGGGTGCTGATCCTCATTAACAGTTTACTTATGATTGCTACATAGCCGATAACAATGATATTACACAGGTTCCTGTTAAGATCACACGGCAGTTATTCACATATTAACATTCTGCGTTTTTGAACAACATTCAATTGTCGACATTCATACTATCTGCATTTTGGAACAGAAAGAGCCCTGGATTTTAGAGTTCACACCAACTGCATCTTAATGGGATCAATCAACTGATTTTCACTTTTCTTTTTTCTTGACATAGCTGACTAGCTACGAATGGTAAAATATTACAAAAATATTAATTTGGCAGTTCAATTAGTTACTCATATTAGTTTGGCAAATTAAAAATTAGAAGAAAAAATTAGCATTCACAGTTAAGATTGGCACGATAATTTGAATTATGCTAAATTATTCTTTACGAATTTCACAGATCTAAACGAACGTAGGAATCCACACAAAAAATAGGTATCTATTTGAAGAATATTTAAAGTTAAAAAGCAGGAGCAAAATGCACCAACAGTCTAAAAACTTAGAATTTTTGAACAGCAATAATTAGAGAAATGGGTTTCAGAACAGAGTGGTCACAGAAATTTAAGTGAGGAAATGGAGGTGGAGTCAAATTGTCAGAGGCTTTCATCTATCACCATTTCAAAGTCATAATTAAGGTGTAAAAAATTAAGTAAAATAAAGAGATTGCACACAATCCAGTAAAATTAGACGCAAAATAAAGTTAGTTATTTCTTCATATGATGTTCTTTACTACCTGCAGAGCACAATACCCTTTAAAACTGATACTTGATACCAATGCCTAACAAATTGAGGCTCTTCAGTGATATTTTTTTTCCTTATTATTTCTTTACAAGAATCTGACAGTCTAAAATTAGCGTGAAGAAAAGTGCTGGAATCTGAGGAGACATAGCTTCTGTTTCATCTCCATAAAAAAGAGCAAACTCACTGTTGCAACGTTTCTACTGAAGAATTTGCAGAGGAGCGCAAGAAAATTTACTGCTCTAATTTTTCTCCATACTGGCACATGTTGATTTTCACTTGTCAAGCATACCTCCCGCAAAAGATAGTGAGGAATATTGTATGAAAAAATATAGAAACTTTACGAACACCAAATTACTTTAGATTTTGCACACCAAATCACTTTGACTGGTTCATGATTTAAACCTAATCGCAATATGTGCCAAAACTTTTATTTAGCATCATTCTTAGCATCAATATGGGTGATGCATAGAATTCAACAAAATTTTCATGCTAACTTATTTTTCATGACTTTTTACTTTTGAGTGTATAGTCCGAAGGAAAGACACTATTAATAATATAAACTTTATTTGAGAGAGAGAAAAAAGGATTTCTTGACTCATAAATTATAGGAATTTTATTACGTTTTCTTAAGCCCTTTAACGGTCAATGCGACCAGGACTGAGTTGATCAGAAGTAAAATTGTTCAGTAATGTGTCGGACTTTTGATAATCAGGATAGCTTTCTGAGAACAATAATTTAGCATAGATTTTTATAAATGAAAACTTTTAATTCCCAGTATCAATATACATTATATGCTTTACCCTGATTCTACAAACAGCAAAATCAATACATAACCCTGAGATTCAAAATAAAAAATAAGGAAGCTGCAATTTTGGTTCTTGAGTATTAAGAGAGGATGTAAGAGTACGTCTTTTATAACTTTTTAATAATTTCTTGATCTCTTCACCAAGATGAAGAATTAAATCTGAGATCAGTTTTTGTTTCCAACCTGCAACCTGCAATATTTCAAGTGATCGCATTTTTTGTTTTCAAGAAATAGAAAGGAAATGAATTTAATCATATCAGAATAAATTTTGAGGAAAAAACAAAAGATACAAAAATAAGGTATGATATGTGCTTACAAAAAAACTTGCCATACAGTAGGAGTTATACGGGAGACAAACTTGGTAGCTCTATACAAATGAATTATAGATTTAACATAATGCTAACATTACGACACATTAACATTTTATCACAAAAAATTTTACATATTTGTTGCTTTGGTTTAAAAAAAGAGAGAGAAATTAAAATGATACTTGAAGTTCCGTATGTGTCGAGGAGTCAAACATAATCTACACATGAATGATATATAGTATTGGTCCAATCCACACAAAATTGGTCATCATAAGGGAATCAGTTTTCAAAATTTTGGTCGAGAAGAAATATGAGTGACTGAACACACATTAAATTGCGTAATTACCTACATCAAAATCTGGTCAACAAAAGTAAAGAGAATGGATTTCTTTGAATATAAGGAAGATATGCTTCTTTCTTTAAAACTTGATTGACGATTTGTGGGTAGCTAAAGTTTTTGGAAGGAAAATGTTTTATGAAATGATAAGGAACTTGCAGAAGTTACAAAGAAAAGAAATACAATTAGCAAATGAAAGGGCTATGAATTATGGCAATTATTGATGACAAACACAGGAATTTTGTTGGTTAACCTTCGAAAAATGAAGAGCCTCTTAGAAGAAGGACTTAGAAGCAACAGACTTTGGAGTTCATTTATTTTGTTCCCCCCTCCTTCCAAACAATTATGTCGTATCCTTTTTCTCCCTTTCAAATTTAGTTGTAAAGAGTCAAACTTCAAATAAGTTTCAGAGAGAAAAATTCATCACTACTAGCTTTTAAATGATTAATTTGGAGTAATTTGAGCAGATACAGAACCTATCCAAGATATGAGAGTTAATTCACAAATTTTTGTATCTAAAAACGATTTCACATCTTGCCATTACATGGTATTTGATTTATGATTTCGACAAAAAAAGGTATTTGGTGTGCTCCGATTCCAACTACCAAAAAACCATGGTCTCCTGTGGGCAGCAATGATGTTATATAAATTTTCCAGGACCCATAGTTTGTCACAAATATAAACTTTGGCTCATATCAACCTAAATCAAGGTAGGCTCTACGGTTGACTGACACACACATACACACTACAGGTATGTAAAAATAACCTAAATTTTTAAGGATTGTTCAAGATAAAAAGTACAAAGAATAAGTTTTTCTTGTCTGATGACTCCTTAAAAATCTTTCTAGTGTAAAAAAATAAAGGGGAACATCAACAACTTAAAATTATCTTTTGGCACAAATAAACCGGAAGCTTCGAGGTAAATTACAGGGCTGCTACGGACTTTTCAAAATAACAATCCTTGACACATTTTGGTGAAATTCCCCGCCAATGGAGGATATGCCTGATGGTTAAAAACATAATTTGAAATAGTTTTGATGCAAAATTTGTTGTTCAACTCACAGAATGTCAAACTCATTCCATAAAGCAAAAAGATGATTTTACAATTTTTTCCTGACACTTTTGTCTTTTTTCCTGACTTTTTAAAATTTCATGGCATTTCCCAGTATTTCCTCACTGCAGCAACCCTGAAATTAATGATTATATAAAGTGATTGAAGAGTTTAGAAAGATTGTACGCAGAAATATAATTCTAGGAAATCTACTTGAAATGAAGGTGCAGGTGACAATTGCATTAATTAGCACAATCAACTCTCAATAATTCGAAATTCAAGGAACCAGAGGAACTCTTTTTTTTAATTTGAGTTTCAAATTAGTGAGATTTTCGAATTAAAAGGGTTGGGCTGCACCGATTCGATTTTGAGGAATAGATTAAGAATGAAAATTTATTTATAAATTTTTTTTTTGTTAATATGAGTGACACTAATATAAGTAATACAATGAGTGATGAGTGTTGGACATTGTACTTTGGTTCTTCTGAGAAATTAGACAGTTTTTGGTTGACCAAGAGCCAATTTGGGATCAGTTCAATTTTGACCTGCTCCGATTTTTGAGACATCAAGGTTTCCTCAAGGAACCACCATTTTACTTCACACGACCAAAGAGTTTTGAATTATTGAGAGTGGATGGTATAATTTACATCTCTTTTTAGCTTGGATTAGAGGATAAAGAAAATATAAGTACAGAGGGGGAAAAAGAATTTTCTCTCAGCACTTTCATTTGACCCTTAATCCTGTCCAAGAATAATGCAGATGCATTGATAAGCTTGATAGATAAAAAAAAAAATACTTACTTATACTTCCAAATACAAAAAAAAAAAAAAAAAAAAAAAAAAAAAAAAAAAAAAAAAATTATCAAGGAAAGTATCTCTTTTGAATCATTAAGTTCAAAAGTTAAACATTTTGAAAACAAGACTTGTAGCTCCTATTGAAAGATTTTCAGTACAGACTTATAGACTACAGCTATTAATCGAGATCCCATATTCAGGGCAACTGTTTGATTATTTTCTTAAAAGCCCTTATTTACTTAATTTCCGTGATAGATTTAATTCCCAGCAACTATATAGCAAACTCTTACAGTCACTAAAAAATATGATAACTAGCAATCATTAAGCGTAAAATATTTTTTGTATTAAAAAATATGTTATAGTGATAGTTAAAATAATTTCTTGGAAGTATGAATGATTGTACATTCTGAAAGCATGCCTGATAGGGTAGGGCTGTGAAAACAAAACAAAATAATTACTGTACAGAGTAGCTGATCTAAAAAAGACTGACTAAGACTGATGTATATGACAAAAGCTCAAAACACAAGACGATAACTGAAGAAGTCAGGATTCTTTTGATGTAAATTAATTTGTTCGGAAAATCAACTCATTAAAACTACTTGAAAAATAGTTTCATGAGACTACCATAATGTTGCAGGGAAAGTTAAAAAACTAAAGGATAGGTCCTTTTTAATCACTGAATCATATACATACAAAACTGCATCGTTCTTAAAAATAATACTGCTTTCAGGACTTAAATAGTATAAAGGATATCACAACGATAATTTTATAGATATTACTTTACAAGGGGATCCAATAACAGAGCAAAAAGGAAAACAAAACTCCATAAAAACAACCAAAGAAAGAATTATGCATAGAAAAATACATACAAGAAAAATTGTTCAAAAACATAAATTGAATAAAACAACGATATTTTGACATAATCCTTGCTCATTCTTAACAAATCTGAGACCATGTGCATTCATCACTTACTTCTGGTTAAAACTACTGACTACTTGAACATTTTTGCAGGGTATCATAAACGAAAGAGATACCCTTTCTTTGTCGATCACAAGATCTAAGTTCCTGAGTATAACAGAATATCTAATACTTGATGCCATTCCATCATTCCTCCAACGTAAGGGCGTGTCTCCATTTTCTTGTTGGCCCACATAACTTCATGCTCCCCAAGGTTTACATAGAAACAGGGTTACATGTCAGTTTACCTACAAACCTTTGACCTACGTGACGTTTTACCTACAGCTTTTTACCTACGACATTTAAACCTACAACATTTTATCTACAAAGCAATTTGCCTTAAAAGCAATTTACCTGCATTTTTTTTTGTCTACGAAACATTTCTCCTACAATTTATCAATTTCACCTACGAGTGAAATTGCTCTCCAGCATAGCTGCCAGATTGTATGAAAAAATTTGTTTTCTTTTAAATTGAGTTAAATGGGAAGGCTAAATGGGAATGGCTATTTAGTCGCTATGGTGTACAGCTGTAAGAGAAGCCCCAAGTTTGTTTCTGTGGCAACAAAAGCATATATTTGGCGCACTTTTTCCAGTTTTTTTCTAACCTTATTTTTTCTTAACTTTTTTTTTCTAAAAATTTTAGTTTAAACTTAATTAAAATGGCAAAGTTAATAACAACCACGCGAGGGGGGAGGTGTTTAGCCGTAGACGGGTTTGTGTATCACAAGCAAATCTCACGTCAGTTCAGAACATATTGGCATTGCGCTCAACGGAAAGAATTTTGCCGAGGCCGTGCAGTCAGTACAAACAACCCGCTGACAGTCGTCAAGCAGACTACTCACAATCACGCACCAAACCAGGACGCGGTGGCTGCCCGAGAAGTGGTTAACAATCTTAGAGGTTTAGCGGCAGAGCGCCCAGATGCAGCTCCTACACTAATTTTGAGGGATGAGCTCAGTCAAGTGACATCAGTCGTCACAGCTCAACTTCCACTACGAAGTTCTCTGAGAAGAACAATGAACCGGAGACGGCAAGCCGAGCTCCCGCCAAATCCTGCCAATCCACAAGAGTTAAACATTCCTCCTGAGTATCGCACCTTACTGAAAAATGAGCCCTTCCTCTTGTACGAAAATTTAGATGACGATGATGCCTCTACTATCCTAATTTTCGCTTCAGACAGGAATTTGAGGGTTCTTGGAGCTTCACAGACCTGGTTCATGGACGGAACTTTTAAAGTCACACCAATTATCTTTCATCAACTTTTTACAATTCACGGGATGATTGAGGATTCGGCGTTTCCCCTTGTTTATGCCCTAGTCGAAAATAAGGAAGAAGAAACGTTTATCAAGTTCTGAGAGAAGTCGTTGCACATTGCAATGCAAGAGGAATTAACATTGCAGCGCCTGACACGCTTATAAGCGATTTCGAAAAGGCAATCATCAATGCAGGCAGAAGAATGTTTCCAAATGCGCAAGTGCGGCTGTGTTTTTACCATCTGGGACAAAGTTCGTACAGGAAAGTTCAGGAACTTGGCCTACAAGCAGCCTACATTAATCCCGAAAATCGAGAATTAAAGATTGCAGTTCACTGCATGTTAAGTGTGGCTTTTGTACCACCAGATGACGTAGAAGAAGTGTTCGATGCCCTTGCCGAGACTCTTCCCGATAATTTACAAGACCTGGCGGATTATTTCGAAAGAGTCTACATCAAAGGAATCAGACGAAGACGTGGTCGAAGAACTCCTCCCCAATACGCACCCGCTTTATGGAACCAATTTGAAGCTATCGCAAATAATGAACCCAGAACAAACAATCTTACGGAAGGGTGGCACCACCGGTTCAATGATTTAGTGGGGAAGAACCACCCCTCTTTTTATCATTTTCTCAGAGAGTTGAGGAAAGAGAATGACGATGTGGAGAACATGATCATGGAGGTCGAGATGGGAAGAACTGTCAAAATGCCGCAAAGGTCAAAATATCGGCGTGTCAACGAAAGACTGCACCGGCTAGCGGGACGGTATGAGGCGATGAAAACTGCTGGGAGACAACTAGATTATCTCCGCGCGTGTGCGCACAACTTCGACCTGTAAGAGAAGTAAGTAAGTCTCTTGGTGGTTACTTCCTCCCCTAAAATCTCTCAAAATAGAGTCCGTTTTTACACAGCTCACATCTACACAAATAAATTGTAGGTTGAATGTTTTGTAGGCAAGAAAAACTGCAGGTAAATTGCTTCGTAGGCAAAATGCTTTGTAGATAAAATGTTGTAGGTTTAAATGTCGTAGGTAAAAAGCTGTAGGTAAAATGTGCCGTAGGTCAAAAGTTTGTAGGTAAATTGACCTGTAACCAGAAACAGAGATACACCATTATGTCAGAGGAGCGACGATTTGACAAAACAAAAAAAAGATGATTCACTTTCTTCTGTTCATCAATTAAAATTGCACCTGGTCAGAGGTCTAAAAAAATTTTTAAATAAATAAAATTCAGTCAAATTAGCACATTTGCTGCCATGCTGATAAATTTACAAGGGCCATTCAGTGAAGACTGGAACTGTCCGGCCACTTAACTGATAAAAGATGATAACTGTATTACTGATATGACATAAGATGATATGCCTGTATGTGAGTTCATGGACCAAAGTTCAAGGAATAATCAGTATAAGATGAACTGTGCCAAAAAACCAATGTTCGAATGGCCAATTTTTCTTTATCAGCACAATTTGGTAGAATCAAGGATGCAGAAAATGCCTGAGCATTTTGCTCAAGCAGATGTGTGAAAATTTTGTACGCCCCTAAGACATGGAAAGGGGAAAAACATTTTGAAAAGTTCTGTGAGCTTTCGTCTTGGTCCACTAAGATATCCGCATTATTAGCACGTTGCCGCAGACGATCAGAGCACCCTAATTGTTTGCAAAGTTTTGTAGTATTCACTGATGACACCCCGAAAGCTTGAAAAAAAGGGTCATCACAGTTGAAATTGGCAGGAATTTGGTGGAAAGCTGTTGGGGAAATGTGGCAAACTACCAGGTGGGTGCTTGAAAATGTGAAAAAGTGAAACTCTGCATCCCTAGGTAGAGCGAGGTAAATCAGTAAGGTACCCATGCTAGAGACTGCCTATCAAGTTTTAAAAAAGAAGTTACCACCATTTTTTGTTTTGTCTTTGATACTGATGTTCAGCAACTGACACTCTGGGGCGCCTTTCAGATTATTTTATTTTATTTATGGTCTACGGGAAGTGAGCACCAAAATACTGGCAGCAAATGAGTTAATCATCATTGTCAAGACACACATTCCTTGACAACAAAGAACATCATTTAAAAAGATTAAGAGGTTATGTAGCTTTTACATATAAGTGGGTTTCATCTTGTAAGCTCTTTTCCAGATTTCACACAAACAGACGGTGGAATGAAATCGATAAAAAATCGCTAGAGGCATTGAGACGTGAGTAATGATAGTCCACGCCCACAGGCCATAGAAGTGCAGCTGAATTGGATGTGAGTCAGCCCTCGATTTTTCAAGTGTATTTATGGCCCACATCGCTAGATTTGTTACCAACAGAAACGTGACTATTTCCCGCCCAGGTTTCTTGCGAATCTGCTCTGGAGTGATGCAGGAACGTCTTGATGCGTCAAGAATAAACATAGTTTGACATACCGTTTGCAAGAGTGAAGCAGAGGCTGTTATCAGGACCAAAACCGTATTTTTTTCAAGGGTGAAGTGTCCTCCAATTATGGTGAATGTGCTGTATAAAAATATTCCGATTTGAGCTCCAACAAGAAGGATATTGTCCAACTCTAAATTGCGGCTGCCATCGAATTTGAGTTGTCGAACCTGAAATAAAAAGATTATAAATTTTCATGACTTCTATAAACAAGGAGCAAACAAGAGCCACGTTTTTAATTAAGACTCGCCCGGCCAAGTTGAAGTACTTTGAAGAGTCGTCTCTGATTGGCTGGTCCGCCTGATGCTCACATTCTGAGGCCCCCAAGGAAAATAACACAGGGTTCATTTTTCATCGAAAATATCTTAAAAACAAGGTAAAATGTATACATCAAAGATTTCAAAAATCAATTCTCCAGTTTTTTCTGGAGAGATTGATGGGTAATACATGACACTTTTATGATACCAAGAGTCCTAATTCAAGTTGAAAAAGGAAAACAATTCCAGGTCGAACTGTGCGGCGTGTTTGAGAAAAAAGTGTCATGTATTATTCATCAATCTCTTCCAAAAAATCTGGAGGACTGATTCAAGAAATCTTCGACGCAAGAATTTTTCCTTGTTCTTGAGATATTTTTGATGAAAAATGAACTCAGTATTATTTTCCATAAGGTCCCAAGAAAGTAAGCATCTGACGGATCAGCCCGTCAGGGACGACTCGTAAAAGTAGCGGGTACCACTCGACCCGTAATTCAAACTGCGGCTCTTGTTTCCGTGTTTGTTCTTTGTCTGTAAAGGGGCAGCTTATTAGTTTTATACTCAGTTGTGGAGGTTAGTTTTTAGGAAGCTTCTGAACTTGACTGAAATGGAGTAAAGATGCATAGTGGCTCGAATTGATGATTGTGGAAAAATAGGACCCTGCATAATTAAAATGTACATGGTACGCAAAAGCAGATAAAAATACCAGCTCCTCACATACTTTTAAGAATGCGATTGCACTAGGTTTTATTTCTTTCATTATTCAGTCAATACTACTTCAAAGGCTCCATCTGCTGAGCACCGTCCATTGTTAGAGCTACAACCGTTTGTGTGCTTTTGTCACGCGTGCGTCATATATAGTTTTAGAATACCCAAATTGGTGCTAAATAAATCTCTTAGAAACTCCTCATCCCTTTTGAGGCGTTTGAATCAACCCTGAAACTTATTTTCCAGACATTGCATTGCATATCTGACTCAAAACCCGTTCGGCAGTGGTAGCGGTGTGGAGCCTCACACATGGGTACAAACCTCCACAGGTGCCACATGCACATAACTGCGAATCGTATTCAATGTAAGTCACACTTTCACGTTTGGTTTTTAACGTTACTATGGCAAGATTAAAAATGGATTATTTCCAAAGATTTTCGCGAAAAATAGCCTTTTTATCTATTGCCGACCAACAAGATCATCTGACCAAAAAGACAGCTTATTTCAAAGGCGTTATTTTGAAGGGGAAAAACATACATTGTTAGTAAAGAATTAGGTCGGGCATTAGGACAAAATTCGCAGTTTATCGGTAGTCACTAAATCGAAGGTCGTATCAAAACTGTATTGTGATAACACCTGGTATTTTTTTGTGATTCATTCCTAGAGACTAAAGTTAAGCATTAACAACACTCACAACTAACAACTCCCATAAGGAGGATAAAAAATTACCTGTATCATCCCAATGAGCGTGGCAAGTGTGGTTGTGCCATACAAAGACACTTCACAAATGTTAACTTCCATGACAGCAAAATTTACGAGTTCCGGTCTTGAAACGAGTACGAAGAACAGAATCAATGAGATGATGGTGAACACTAAGAAGAGTATACCGACAAATAACCCTTTGTGAGCTTGAGCACAGTCCACTGAATAATGGTGTGGGGATCGTTTGTAGTGCAGCGGTGCTATCTTGTCGACTTGTTCCGTTGTCCCTTGAGGATTCGTGCGAACTCGGCTGATGTTCTTCCACATGACATATAAAATGGCGGCGCAAATTAAACTATACTCAATAGTGCATGGAAACAAAAATGGACTAGCATTCTGCACTAAAGAACCAATGATGTCTGTTCTGCGACACTCGTAGATGTGGTGGGGACCTTTCAAGCCTCTGGTTGCTCGGTGATGAAATCCTTGACCAATTTGTGTTGTAACTGGTGCAATTGTTGTTGAAAAACCTCTGATTGCTGGAAACAATAAAAAAATGACACTTACATACTGTTGTTGGGGATTAATACAAATTTATGTCCTCAAATGGACTTAAAGAGCAGGTTGAAATGGAATTTTTTTTTCAACCAAAACACAAAAAAGAGCATCAAATGCGGTAAAACTGACAAGCATACAATTTCAGCCCTCTACACTACCTCTGACATTGAGTCTTGGGCATTTTAAAGGATAAGAATCAAAATATGAATTTCTTTCAAAATTTTAGCATCTTTCTGCAAGGAATTAAACTTCTGGGTTAAAATTTCAACTGTTTTGATATGCGAAGACAATTGTAAGTTGAAAAAGACAATTTTGGTGCTAAAAACAGCCCTTTTCACCCTTGCAAGAGCAAAAATTTTGAATATACAAGAATTTCGATGATGTACTGCTCCATCAGATGAGTCAACTGGCATTGATATTTTTATTTGGGGCTACAGAACCAGTGTAACTGATCTAGTACATATGACTGATTTTTTTGATAGCAAAGAGCAATATCGCTCTAGATGCCAGTAATTCAGGAGTAGCATAGAATATCTGTAAGAAGGTACAGTCATCATTACTTTAAATTTTTCTACTCTTGCGCATCTTTTTGAATTTAGGGGCATAGCTCTTCAATTATTTCATGATTAAGTAGCAATGAGTCAAGAAAAGCAGTAATCGTTTTGCAAATCAAGAGGAAATAAACAGAATGATGGGGAAGATAAAAAGAGTAAATCTTGAATATTGCCGTGCTAAGTAAAAGAGCCGAGCGAACATTCCAATGTTGCCAAGTTTCCTATCAGGAATTTTTTGAGTGAAGTTATGAGTATTTTACTTTGAAATTTTACAGAATTTTTAGACAAGTTACGAATGAAATCCTCTCGGAGGAGAAATATTCACAAATTTTCCTGAAAATTCGTGATTTGTTGAAGGAAATTTGGCAACACCTGATGGCTCAAATGACGTTTTTTCTTTCACGGCAGAATAGACAAGTGACCTCTTAAACGCACTCACCATTTATATGGCCAATTCGATGGGATGGGTTAAAATCGATTGTGTTGTTCTCTGGATTATAAAAGGTTAAAATTTCGTGTTTGGTCTCTTGAATCAGCACATTCAACCAAATGGACAAATTTGTTCCAATCATGTGCATCAATCCAAATCTGGCAAGTGTCCGATGTCTGGTAACTCGCATTTGTTGCTGAGCAAAAACAAAGTGAGAATCAATTATTAAGAGTGCATTAACCTACACAATGCTCAGCTAAAAACTAAGAAAATCTAAAAACAAAAATTTGGAAATCAGAAAAACACCCTGCACAATTGGCCTGCTGCAAACTTTTGTTACAGGAAAAATAAGAGTTGTTTCTTATAGAAAATGACTCCAAGATCTTAAGAACTTTTTGCATAATACTCTGATTATTTGCACCCCATTAAAATTCAACAATGCACATAATTATTAGCTCATAAAAGCTTATTATGGCTCATTATTATTATTCTTAGCTTCTTATTTTAGCTCATTGACACTGAACAAAGATTGCGCGTCTTGGTCTTCCAGATAGATAAGGGGAATGAATCAGGAAACCAAAATCAAGGTGAGAGCCATGATCTATTTTGATAATAAAAAAAAAGGAACAGATTGACTGGACATTATTACTGCGCTTCTTGCTATGTTAATCCTTGCATAGAATACTGTTTGATACTTTCAATTACATGTATGATGACAGGGAGGAAAGTAAAGGAATGTGAGAAGAAAAATACCTCATCATTGAGAAAGATGAAATACATCTGAATAAATGTGAATGCCATGCGTGTTGCTGGAGTGAGCGCTAGTAAGACATTGTGACACTTTGTATTCCGCTCCAGTTCAAAATATTGGCCGAATTCAAGTCCTGAGTAAATCATACTACCGATGCCAAATGCTGGAAAATCAAAACAAAATCGCCAGTGAGTAAAGAGACCGACAAAACACACTGTGCTGAGAAAAAAATCCAGCTGGTGCTGCCTAAATTAAAGACATTATTCTGGACCATCAGGGTAACAGACACACAGAGAGAATTGGACGTATATGTTCTAAAAGGAACTATGTTACACGCGGACAGAGTTCCTTTTAGCGTAAATATGTCCAATTGTACTATAAGATGTGGATAAAAACTCACCTACAGCACCCATGCGCAGATAGAAACTTCCGTAATGTTGAAACGGAGCTTTGGGAGAAACATGCCTCTCGGTAGTGTGATTATCTGTTCCGATACTCATTTCGAGGTCAGACATGTAATTGGTGCCTGTTTCTTGACCACTCGCAGATTCGTTTTCGCTTGATCCTGAGGAGGATCCATCCTCTTTTATTACTTTTTTTTCTAAAACAAAGATAAAAATAGAAATCAAACTTAAAATTAAACGAAAGAGATTAATTACAGAATATGCACTTTCAACTCTACAAGGGACAGAATTTTTTTCTTCGACACACATATAATAATTTGTTCCAATATTTAAAATGAATGGTGTCCTTAGCTTTGTGATACCCAAAAACGAATACATAGTGAAAACTGCTGAGTTCATTTGAGACAAGCGCGGCTAGCTTTAGCTTCAACCAGCAAAAAAGAAATTCTGAGAAATTTGATTTCGAAAAGTGAAATGTAGGTAAGGAATGAACCAAAACATGAAAGATTGAACTGAAGGAACTTGATGGAGTGGACTATGTTGAAAAATCATTTACCCTGACACTATTTTTTTAAAATTCATTGAGAGGACCTTCTATATTCGCACTTTTTCGAAGGAAATTTATACAATTTCTGTACTTCTGTAATGACCTCTCAAAATCTGTACTTTTTCATGGTGCTCATACTTTTTCTATACAGTTAACACCCTGATACTGTATTACCACTTCACTTTTCTTTAGAAGGAGAGAGACTACAACTATGGCTGATTTTGTGCAACTCATACAACTTTTTTGTTTCAATAATGGTTTTTCACTTCAGATGTTCATGGTATGGAAATGACTTACTTGCAGCGATCTTCTTAGTTCTTGGATCCTTTTGACAAAGCATGGCATACATGTAGAATAAAAAAGCCATACTACCGAAATAAAGATACAGGTAAAAACTCTGAAACAAAAATAGTATTCGGATTAAAGTCAGTATACTGATATTAGATGGCGATTTAAAATCAATTTTTGACATAATGATTTATCGATGTTTAGGGGTTGATTTAAAACTAGAATAACATTTTTAAACCAACTTGCATAATAATTGCACTATTTTTGTCAAATGATGGTCCAAATTTTGAGAGCATTGACTTCAACGATGTTGATATGGATTTACTATCAATATTTTCAACCCGAACATCAAAGAAATCGATTTTGGAGAGAGTCAAAAATCAATGTTCAAATCGACTTTTTGAAAAAAGGCTTCGTTACTAACTACTGTCATGTACACTGCCAACTTTAAAATGCTGATACTGCCGCGAGCTTTCAAACATTACCTAAAAAGTTACTCGCTCTTTAAGAAAGAAAGAAAAAGAAGGAGGTTCATTTGATGGTAAGTGGAATGAAAAATTGTATCCTAAGACTTATACAGCAAAATAAAACACTTACCTCATAAAAGGAACTGGGAATATAAGTGGATATAACTTCTGACATTGGAAATGCAATTCCCATCACCACCACAAGCTTTCCATACAATGCTGATAAAGTAGTTGCAAGAGCTTCTCTAAAAAATTTAAAAAAAAAAATACATATAATTGCTAAATTAATCTAATTAATATTCAGCTTGAGTGGATACAAATTTAGTGCATGAGTCATTGTCATTCAGCATTGCAAAAAATGCAAAAATAAAACACAGAAGAAATTGAGTCCCAACTTGTAAAAATTAAGGAATTGTCCAAAATTTAGGCATTCAAATGTTGTAACTTTGGCCCACATGTTAAAAGAAAAAAAACCTGAAGTATAACAATGGTATATCAAATTGCAAAGATTGAAGTTGTGACTTAAATACTTTAATTTTTTGAAAACTAACTGTAAAAAAGTGAACATTTCACTGAAAAACATAATAATTTCTGCTCTGAATTGACTTTGCATCCATTCATTTCTTGACTGGGTTTTTCACCAATATTTTTTATACTTGGTTCATTACTTAAAACAAACCATGTTTTTGCATGATCGACTGTTCGCAACTCAAACAACATCCTTCAGTGACATTATCACTGAGAAATGAGACTTGATTTGAATTTAATGCGTTAAATCATGTACAATTTTCAATTCTTATAATTTGGTGAGTAAATTGACAATTTGTCGGACATCTTCTAAGGGATACTTGTTATATCAAAGTAACATAATAAGATCTCTTACTTAATCTCTTGTGCTCACGAGTAGACCATTAAATTATCTTCGGTAGGAGAGAGGAAAAGGCCGATTTAAATACAAAAAGATGAAAGAAAACTGGAAACTAATGTTATGGGGCTAGACTGTGAAAGGTACTCACGCTCCCATTCGTTTCCAGTGAATCTGCATTTGTTCGATTCGTGATGGTCGTTTTGATGATGGATATAGCATACATGGTAACTGGAGTATGTTAGGATTGGACTCAGCCAATCTAAAATAAGAAATCAGGAAAGTTAAGATTATGGATTCGTACGAGCCAAGACCGCTAAAAATGGTTGTTAATCCTTCATGGAAAATGGAAACGTTACATTTTCACCTCAACTGATTCGTTCAGAACACAAACTCTTTGGCATGGATTTACTACTAATTGGACAGAGTTAAACAGAAAGGAACCAAGCCACATCGGGATCGAACCGAGAAAAAGAGGTTTAAAGTTTGGCTCCTGCATAAGATTCAATGTAAAAGATAAACTTCAAGTTCAATTTCTGCAAAAGTTGCTCCAACAAAAACTTTGAATTTTTGGCGATAGATAGTAGAGCAGTGGTTGAGTTTGAAACCACTCATAACTCAATTTTTTCCAAAATGTGGGTTGGTTCCTTTCTGCCTAACTCAGTCCAATTATGGATAAACAGAAAAATTGTTAAATCAACAAACTGAAAGGTAAGTTCAATATAATTTTAAAATTTTTTATCCTGTTTGATGAGCGATTTATTTGGAGAACTTTCTGGGGTTATTTTGACAGGTTCCACCTTAAAATTACGATGTATCTCTTCTCATGATAGATGCTTTAACTCAAATTTCATACTTTTAATTTTACAAAGAAATTTTGTGATGCTTATCATTCTTTTACTTGATTTCAAGGGGAGATTGTAGAAACGGGCCTATTAGCGGTGTGTTGTCATGAATGCGCAGAGATTAAAAGAGGATGGTCTATGTGTCGCTATCAATTCTTTACATTGCGCTATTCCTTTCAAAACACTAGAATTTATTAAAGAGGTGTGTCATTTCAGTTTTCACTTCCTGATTAAAACGAAGAATTTCTGAACAAAAGGAAAGATTATTCTTACTTGGAAAGCGATATGGTCACAGGGTGATCTGGCAGTGAAGACATGACCGTGCGCAATGTTTGAGAGAGCTGTCTGGTAGGTGAAGAGTGATGTGACAGAGTCTCAGGACTAACAATTACAGCGCTAGGACTTGCAGGAGATGGCAGTAGCATAGGTTCTCGACTTGACCAACTGGAAGATAAAAAAAGATGAATATAGTCAGTTTCATCAGATTTGTGCAACATCTATTTTGAATTGCACTGACAGGAGCACGGTTTCTGTCGACATTAATATCTAATCTAAATAAATACCAAGGTACCTTATGAATGTGGACAGGTGGGAATATAGATGGATTGGAAGTGAATCAGAAATTAAGGAATTCATGACATTTAAATGATCTGTATATTAGTGCTAAATCAAGGACACACAAAAAAATATTCTTGGCGAGGAGAATATTCTAGTTTGATGAGAACTAAGAAATGTTCGCTAATTTTGCAAGGCATAATTATTTTTACAACTGCCGATTAAAAGAAGAAGAGATTAAAAGTCAAAACTAAAGAAGATTAATTCGGAAGAATTTTGGAATTTCATAGAATATTTGAACAAGCTAATGATTACAATTACAAAAAATCTACAACGACTAAGGCAAAAACTTTTCAGCTCATTAACTTGACCTATTAACAATTACAGGTGGTTGACTTTAAAAATATACTATCTTTTTTTTTTTTTTTAAATTTGATATTTACAGTCTATACACAAAAGGAAATACAAAGATCATTAGCTATTTAATTAACTTAATTGCAAGACTCCTCCAAAGAACCAAAGGTAACAGAAAAATTGGGTACCTACAAAAAAAATTGACGCACACATTTATGAAACCGAAAGATAATAATGAGCAACACAAATAGGAACAGAGAGAAACTAAACAAAAAACCAAGCACCATTCAAATTGTACTGATTTCCTACTTGCATTTTCACACGGTAATGGCTTGTGAGCATTATTTGTCAATAAAGTCAAGTCGCAAAGCTTGCAAAAATAAGCTTAGGACTGACTGGAAGTTAGGGAAGGAAATGAAGCGAGTAATAAATCACAAAGAGGGAAGTGGCATACTGTCAAGTCAATTAAGTGACCCTCCATGGAGCAAAGGGGGCCTTTTTTTCAATTTGTGCCCACAAGCTCAGCATCATTGAGCAATGCCACTCACATTATTTTATTGTCACTAATTCTTTTGAAACAATATTTCATTGCACCCTTCACTAAGAGTGCTTCTCGGCATCATTTTGGGTAAAAATAAAAAAAAGCAGTTATTCAAGGTATTTGGTCTTTCTCCCACAAGAGGCTGTGTAACAATTAGAGACACTATGTTAAGCAACTAATCATTTTCTAACAAAATACAAAGTACCGGTAAAAGTGGACTATCAGTTGATTTTTTTAAAAAGGAAAATCGAATTATTCACGCAAAATTGTTTCTCTTCTTATTTATCTCTTTCCAATTTTCAAAAGCAAACATTAAGGAAAAGTAATTGACAATGACATTTTCTATATGATTGGTCTCCACTGAGTTTTGACAAATTGAGATCTTCATAAGATAGTTATAGCCATAAGCATAGTTTTACCAAATCTAGAATGCTTCTCACCTAATTAATCTTGTCCCCACAATTAGGGAAACAAAATGGGAGAGGGGAAGGAAACATGGAGAGAAAAACAAAGACTTTTATTGCATGAAGACCCAAAACACAAACAACTGGCTCATAGAAAATTCTAAGTCTTGGAGAAATTATGAAGTGTAATTCATTTTTATATCCCTAGATAGAAATTAATTTGAACATCTTGATCAGTCCAGCAAATTATTCAAACCAAAGAAAATTAAAAAAAAATTATATGGTTATATCATATAACATTTGTTCATGTCTATTTATTTTCTTTGATGGATTACAGATGAAAATTAGCCTGCAACCTTACAAGGAAGCCTAAAAAACTTATTATACAGACTTGTATTCTTTTTTGGCCAGAATCAGCCTAATTACATTTCTTGTTGCCGAATTTTCTCCTACGTTTTGCTTTTTTAACAGAGAACTAAACCACTAATCACCATCAAACTTCCTGTAAATTTACCCTTTATCATGAAGAATATACTCACAAAATTTCAAGTTTATGAGTTGCTTGATTGTTTGTTTATAAATAAAACAAAAATAATGAAATTAAAGTAAAGAAAATTAGGCAACACCTGATATTATCAGGCTGATTTAAGTTACATCCATCTAAAATCTTGTTAATTAATTTAATTAAAAATAAAAACAGACTTGAACTTGCTTTTGATGATGCCTAATTTCATGTGAACACCTTTAGTAAGAACCGATTTGCAAAAGGTTGGAGGTCAACAAATAAAAAAAAAAAAAAGGAGGGGGTTAAACCTTCAAATCTCTGTGAACAGTATCTGACATTTTTTTTTTTTGTTAGTAGGGACTTCATAGCATCTACTAACTCTCATAGGGATTTTCTTTCATGATCCTTTCTTAGTACCCCAACTATCTTCGAGCAAATACCACTTTCATCTATGTCGGTCAAAATAAAATTAGGATTTAAAATATTCTAGTTCGCTGCCTTTTTTCCAGAAAACTCAACTGAGGCCCTAAGCAAATATGATTTATTGAGAACCAGGCACAACCTGTTCTTAAGCTCATTCATACACGTGCGATCAATTAGCATTTGTCGAGATGAAGGACAAACAATTTTTCAAATTGTCGCAATTTTATAGCAAGGATATTTTCCTCAGGAAATTACAATAAAACTCATGCAAAATAGCGGTTTTTTTAGGATTTTTGCGTATTGCTTATCTCATCAATTTAAGGGGCAGAAATTATGGCAAAATTATTTTGAAACAAGGTACAGCTTCATTGAGTTGCGACGTTGCCAACTTTTTCTACACGTTGCAATAAGCTGGTCTAAGATTGTAACAAATTTACCTGCGTTGAACTAAAATTGGGAGTCACGAGGCAAACTTATTATTATAAGTTGCAAATTAATTGAAAGTTTTCTTCCAAAAATGTTACTTTGGAAGGGGGGCAGCAATACCTACTTAGAGTAAAATAGCTGTAAAGTGATGGATTTACCAAGGAGCATCTGCATCAAAATCAATGGTTGCAATTTCGCCATCATTCTCATTCTTGACAGTTGCGGCTGTTGGTGTTGATGCATCTGTATCTACACTCTCTTGCCCCATTCCAGAGGTCCCAGCTGCAACCTCTTCAATATCGGAGTCGATACCTTGCGCAAAGTCCATATAAAATGAGTCTCTCGAGTCGCTTGAGCCTCTTCGAAGCTTCAGACTCAAATCTGGGGAACTGTCGTCCATCTTGCAACGGAGTAGTAGAAATTAATTAATTCTATCAGTCAAAAGGTATGTTGCAATTCAGAAAAAAACTGAAAGTTACGGCAGTGTCTGAAAACAAAAGAAAATACACACATATCATTACGAGGGTAAAAAAAATGCTAGCTTAATAGAGGGCTGAGAAATGTCGTTTGACTGGATGTCATGTTGCCTATTTTTCTCTCATAATTTAATTTTATCAATGAAGAGCTAGAGTAGTTAATGAAAAAATATTGTGGAAGTGAGTAAAAGGCTCATCTAATCTAGAATGATGAGTTTCACAGAGGAATGAGACCTCAAGTAGCTATTTGCTTTTCACCTCCACTGTCATGTAGATTCATTTACTTAATCCTATTGAGTTCGGCTTAATCAATTAATTTCTGGAACTACATAAGTAAGTCAAGGATGCAAAACCATTAAAATAAAAACCTATAAGCTTTACTTCTTGAATGAGCTGCCATTTTCAAATTTTTTCTCTTTGGCTGTGGGTTCCATAGAAAAGAAGGCTTTTGTTTGAACAGTGCCCTTAAACAGTTCCGACAATACTATCTTCAAAACAATAAAAAGTAGATTAATGCATTCTTGGAGACGAGAATATTCTCATGTCTTCTAGGACTTTCGATTAACAAAATTGCATAGGATGAAAAATTAAAGACTTGACGCGGGATGGATGAGCATGAAGCGAATCAAAGGAGGTACAGAGATCATTATTGCAAACTGCGTTTCTGAATGAGTGGTGTGGGTAATATTTAACTGGGAGTTTGTTTTGAACGGTTCCATTGATGATTTTAGGACTCATGGTGGCTGACAATAATTGACCGTAACTATTCCTGCTTAGATACGGAGATTGAACTAGATCGTGGCCACAGAACTTTTAAGGATAAAAATTGTTAAAATTTCCTTTGGCATAGACTTGGAGGCGCAGCTTCATCATCTTAGGACCTAAAATAGGATGCTACATTGACATGAGATGATTGCAGCTTGGGTGAAGACAGCACCTTCAGCTGCGCACGCAGCTGACATGCAGTAGATAAATTTGAAGAATGTTCTCACCTAATGAAAATCTGAATTAGGTTCAACGACTCAGGAGACATAGCCATGGTACAGAACCGCGAAACGAGTGGACTTTTTTCCACCGATTTCGTCCTTTGATAGCACGGATAGCAGCCTTTTCCATAACAAAGTTTTGTTTACAAACAAGTCGCGGGCCGGACGATCGGCGAGTTGGATCAGTTGTAAAGCATTTAAAAGTTGCACTTGAATGCAACTCAAGCACAAAAAGAAAGGAGAGGAATCTGTAGATTAAAAATTGTAATAAAACACGAGAAATTGACTAATTGAACTAATATTGAATCGCGAAAATGTCCATTCACGGTATTAGCGAACTTTATACTTTCTAAGGGTGGTTAGCTTTTAGTTTAGATGACTGTGATTGGTTGGTTCACTCTATCTCATTCTATTCCAACAAATGAAATTTTATGGGAAATTCCGAAACGGACAGATTTTTGGACCGGATGTGATCTGCATTACTGGCGGGAATTTCGAATAAAACAGCGTCCGCGTCCAAAGCGCAAAACTAGTCTCTCTCTCGAGAAAAAAGAATGCATTATTCAAATGCCAGAGGATTTTTGCCTTTCTTTCGAAAGTCAGTGACGATTCAGATTATTTTTTCTCTAAGTCTGCCATTGGACAAATTGATATTTGATGTATCAATCAGAGCTATTGAAAGTGCGAGAAATTGGATGTTACTTCAAAACATCATCCTGTGGGAACAAAAAAATGAAAAAATAGTGAAAATTTTTGGAGAATAAACCAGGATGTGCTGGAGAAAAGCATGGCATTCAGCACAGCAAATAAATAATGAAATGAAATACTTTTTTGATGAATTCATCCTGTTTTTATTTCTTTGAACATAAATTTTCTTAAAGGGCAAATGATTCTTTAGATTCATGCTGGAAAGCAACCATATTTTCTTCAGCATTAAAGTATGGGTTTGCGAATATTCTGTGAATTCAACCACAACCCGACTGCCTACTGGGTAAATCAGCTTTTGATAATACGACTTTCGAAGACTTTTGATAATATAATTTCTAGAGGCTTTGTGAAAAAATTGACTCAACTTGCATGAAAAGTTTTTGCAGTATTCTGAAAGGCATAGGCGGTTCTAGACCTTCATTCTTGGGGGTGCCCAGAGGTGGAAAATGTCCGAGACCGGCTCCAAAGGGGACGGTCGCTCAGGGGAGGCCTAAGTTTCGGCCCTCAAGTTGTATCCCTCCCCTACTGTCCTTTCTCTTTTTCTCTCCTTCCCTCCACTTAAATACCTGTAAATTCAATTTAGAAAATTTTTAGCACAACTTTCCATCAAAAGTACAATCTTACCATAAAAAAACAGTGGAATCTTTGTAAAACACGGCTTTCAATTTTAATTCTGTTTAAAACATTTTCAATTAATTGCTGGGATTTTTTCTCAGTGTAAGCGAATACAAAATCTTTAAAAGCAGTAATTTAACGGTTTCGATAACCGTACTTAATTTTTGCTTGGGGGTGCCTGGCACCCACTGGCACCCCCGTAGAACCGCCTATGCTGAAAGGTACTTAAATCTCAAATCCCTGTGACACGCAACAGTTCTGCATTATTCCTTGAAATATAACATTGAATTTGTTGAAAATGGTGGTTTAAAAAAATTAAATTTCGGAGGAAGTTTTCAATTTCTCAAAATTTTGGAGCACATATTCAATTAAAATTTAGTGCAGGTATGATGTTAGGAGGACAATTCGACGAATATAAGTTGAAAGGTGTGAACGGAACGGGAAAAACAGTAAAAAAAAGTTGACTATTACACTTTGTGGAGTTACATCAATAAAATATATATTTAGGTGATTATTTACATTAAAATTACAAATGTTGATGATCAATGCACAAAGATTAAAAATTAAAAAAAAGAAGAAACATGTATTTCTAAGAGGAAATCTGAATATTAGCAGCATATCTCATGTGCTGAGAGGACAAGATACTGTGATGATTTTTTAAAAGTATTAAACAATATTCGACCAGAGCAGGAGAGAGAATTACAAATCTTGAATATAATAAAAATCTTTCGGTACCTTTTATACCGATAAATATAGATTCACTTGCACAAACCCACCCTTGCATCAAATTATATCTCAATTTACAGAAGAAAAAGGGACTAAGAAAAGATGGTAGTATTCTTGCATCTAATGGAAAAAGAAGGGGGGAGGGGGCAGAGGGGAAGAAATAAAAAGAAAGAATTCTCTGTAAATGTCTAATATACAGCAAAAAAGTATTGCTTCACAAAATAAAAAAAAAAAAAAAATTGCTGACTTTTTTCCACTGATAATCTTTTTTTTTCTGACAGCTGTCTGATGTCCACATGGTTTATTTTAACATTGATGAGGTACACATTTACAAGTTGTCTTGTAGACTGTACTCATTCAGTCCTAAAAGAAATTTTTTTTGCACAAACTAGGGGAAAAAGAGTGTCTGAAAAATTTGTAGATGTTTCTATTGAATAGATAAAATTGAGTATAATGTGACAGTTTCTTAAGTTGACTTCGTTTTTGTCATTCTATTCACGTCTTTTTGGCATACTGTTTTCTTACGATTTCATTTGTTACATGCAGTTGTTGATTAAAATTCGGACTGAGATGAAAGTTAGGGAAAAAATAATGACAAAGGAGTATTGAACCATCAGTATCATTTACTGATTTCTACATTCTGAGATAAAACTTGGACGTTTAAAAATTAAAAAGGTCTTTCATTTGATAAGGGGTATTTATCAACCTGTACTTAATCTAAAGTTGCAGCAATAGAGAAAAAAATTTCACACATAAAATTTAAACAAGTTAAAAAAGATATCTAAGAATAAAGTGAGTACCATCAGATTATGGCTTTAAAAGTAAAAAATAAAAAGAAGACAGAGTATGTGAAGAAATCTGAGGATGTTCCAATATAACAACTGAATCATAATACTGCTGTTTTGTAATTATAAACACCCTATAATGCTAACTTATCTACAGTATGCATTCAGGTAAAAACAAGAACAAAAATAATTGAATTTAGGATGCGGAACTATATACAAAACAAAGAGCAGAAATATTTTAGAGTTTGAAAAATAGACTGAGGAAAATTTAAAGAAACACAATGAAAATATTGGAAGACAACATTTAAATTTTTTGCCTTTGAAATATTTCTCAATGACGTTGAGACATAGAAAAATCTCGGCTTTCTTTAAAATAGTTTAATTCTTCAGCGTTTCAACATTGTTGAATCAGTGCAGCAAGCAAATTGCTCTGGGATCCCTCAATGAATTTGCTGGACGTAATGATTTCGGGATGATCACATTTTTTGATAAACAATCAATACTTGAAGAGTTGAAAATTAAGGAAACAGAGCAGTTATTATTTTTATATACATAGAAAGAAAGAAAAAATCCACACCTTACAAATACAGATGGAAATTATACTCAGAGAAAAGAGAGATTCCGCAAAATAGTTGACAATGAAGCAAAGCTGAATGAATTACAAGATAAGGTTTTTCTGTGAAAGAAAAATTAAAATTGTTTTGATAGGAAAGACAAAAATACAATAAACGAATATTTTGCCAATTTAAATTTTAAAGAAGTTATATATCGTGAGGCTTGAGATTTATTAAAACCTGCTCACATTTCTGTTTCTACTTCTTTTATGATTTGATAAAATCATAGAAAATTTACCAAAATTAGGATTTGATAGCTGTCTACTTGCACCAATGAAAGATAGAGCTAGTTTTCTAAATGATTTTATTTAAATTCGCTGTCTTCTACCAAAAGAATTGTATTTTGTCCACACTGTTTCAGAACTCGTGCAAAAATTCATGGCAGAGCCATCACATAAATTTGGCTTGAAATTTCCAGTGATTTTTCTATACTTTTGTAAAAAAAAAGACACTTAAAATTTCCAGACAAATTTGTGCGATGGTTTTCCTGAAAAAAAAAAAAAAAATGTTTGCACAAATACTGGAACAGCATAGATGAGATTCATTCCTATGTGTAGGGGACAATGAATAGATCAGCCAATTTTCAACTTGGAATTTCCCTGCTGATGGACTAACATTCAATAAAGTGATTTTGATGTAACATGAACAGCTTCAGTAATTACTAATATAAATGGACTGAAACATTATTCTGCTGTTGTTAACAGCACAAAGTTTTCAACTTTCTTCTCTAAAGAAGAAAAATACAATTTGGGACACTATTTGGAGTATATCAGTTACATTATCTTAGTCACACCCCCGGCATTTAAATACAATTTTGGGGAAAATTTTGCCTTAGGCGGGATTTCCATGATTTCAAATCATATTTTATTTAAAAAATTTGGAGACCTATATAAAAAACTACAAAAGGTTATTGATAGTTTCTAGAAGACAGGTTGTTCTTAGACCATCACTTCTGATGTTGCGTTAAAATTTCACATGTACACAATATCTGAAAGCACTCTCAGTGTTTTTATTGCACTTGATGAAAAATGAGAAAAATGTAAACATACAGAATAAAGAAGAAGAAGAAAATACAAACTGTTGCAATAAATTTAAGTAACATTTTCAAAATGATTTTTTGTGGAAAAAATTTTCCCTTATATATACCGTACACCCCCGCAGATAACCCGTACCTTTTCCCCCGATTTCTATGTTCAAAAACCAGGGTGCAAGTTATCTGTGAAATTCAAGAAGAGTGCATACCTATCAGGCACTACTTGACGATGCGAGCGAAACAGACCACCATGGGCGTGTGTGGGGTTTTTTGGTTTTTTTTTACCCTCTCAAAATCTGAGGTGCAGGTTATCTGCGGGCGTGTACGGTATGTACTTTTATAATTGTGAAAGATTATTTTTATAAACATGATTAATTATTCAATAGTTTTTTTTTGAAAAAGGTTTAACTCGGAAAAAATGAAAATTTCGTGTCAATGAGCGATTTACGAATTACGATGACTTAAGGACGTATCTCGAATGCCACATGAGCTTCGGAAAACATAAGATTATACGGAGAACAGGGCTCACGTAGAAATTGAGATGCACCCTTATGTCAGAGGTCCGACAATTTTAGTTGAAGGTATGCATTTTCACTTGAAATTTTGATTAAATTTCCTTCATTAATGCAATGATATCCACACATATTTCAAGATTTTTTGGTTAATTTTCTACTATAGCGGTAAAACATGGAATTGCATTTATGAAGGCTGCAATGGAGAGGTGTGTTTAGGACTTAAGCCATTGATGTAAAGGCTCCACTTAATTCTTCTTACTTTTCCTTTGGGAAAAACAATTTGAATGAATTATAATGTGATTTATTAGCCGATATATCATGGATTGAGATTTATAAGAGACTTTCATGTGCATGCTGCATCCTAATTATTATATAAATGCATGTTCTACCATGTTACATAAAATGCCACGAACATTCCCTGACAGAACTGGCTGATGTCGTAAATTAATTCTATTGCTATTTTCAGAAAAATACTTTTGCGGTCATTTAGACATTAGGTCATTTGCAGTTCTTTTTTACAACAATAATGTAGTATTGACACACGTTGATACTTACAGGAGAAAATTTACCAAAAAGAAAAGAGAAGAGAATTCTAATTCAAATAACTAACAAAAAACATTAGCTTAAAGATTCAAAATCAAACGAGAGTAACTTGAATAATAAAATAAAGATCATATAACACAATGTTACGATGATTCTTCAGTTTAAAAGCTATTTATACACCTACAAAACAAGTGATTAAAATTTTATTTAACAAGGAAAAATCTCAGGGTTTATCGTAAAATGTTACAAAAGTGAAGCAGGTACAGCATATGTTAAACACTAAAATCGATCAAAGAATTTTACTTTAAAATATTCACCAGCACTTACTGAACTGCGCTTAGTAAAAGTCAAACAGAATAAAAGCATGCAAAAATTAAAAATACAAAAGGTAACTTGGGCTCCTATTTTGTGCAGTAGCTTCCTACCATTGTAGGCTGATACTTCTTGATGCAATTAATTTTAAACTGTAAAATATCGCATCGCCTTCTAAGAGAAGAGATATAAATTTTGATGGAGGCTTTGCAGAGGTTTCAACTCTTTAAAAAATGTATGCCGTTTCAAGGTAGCAGCACATGGCATCAAACAACCACTAGACAAGGTGTGAATCTAAGAGTTATGCAGTATGTTTTCCAATTAAAATTTCATTTGAAACACAATTGGTGCAACCAAAATTAATAAGAGTAAATCTTAACCAAGATATTGACGTTTTTCAATGCTAGAATTCTAACTTCCTGCTAATAAAACACGATGATCCACTTGAGTTAAATCGCACAATAAACTTTATCATAACAGTCTCTGCGATATAAAAAAATGGCAAGCTCAATCTTGACGCTTGGTTCTGCTGTTGCATATTGTTTGCGCTTTTAACAACATAGAGGGGGGGGGGAGAGAGAGAGAGCACTGCTCCATTAAGGAGCCTGCCAAAACTGTCATAGTGTGTGATTGCATAGACATACACTATTTTCTTTTAAGCAGGAAATTCAAATTTTTCATAACCAGTGCTAAATAAAAATGTTAATATTTTTGTTAAGAGTTGATTTCGGTGATCTAATTGCCCAAATCACATTTCACCTGAAGTTTTGGAGAGGAAACATACATTAGAATGCTTAGATTTGTACCTCAATTAGGCGTCCACATTGAAATGAATCAGTGGTTTTTGACTTTGATTTGTTCGTGGCCGAAAGATACTGCGCAAAAATAATATAGGAGCCATGGCATTAAATTCTGAAGAAAAAAATTTAATATTGGAGCCTTCAAGTAATGTTCAGCCTCGGTTCTATCACCTCTTGTTACGCACTTAACCTCTCACAAAAATTTGACCAGCACTCGGAGTACCTGTTAAATTTTGTCATGAGATCGAGACCCTTGATTTCAAATGTCTCTCCAGAACTAACAAAGTTATACAGACGATTAAATTTATTATGCAAGCCCTAAAATTGTCAAAAATAGCTTTTAAAATTTTGTTTTGACAAGAGGTGGTAGATATTGCTCTTAGAGAGTTAAAAAGCAGATAGTGAATACTTAACTTGACACAACAAAATAAAACTAGAATTTATATTCAAAGAACAAAAATAAAACATTTAAAAGAAAGAAGAAATAAAGTAAAACATTCATTAAAAACGGAACAAAGAGAAATAAAACTTTTCGGTCGGATGTTTGAAGAAGAAAAAAAATTAATTGGGGAAAAAAAGAATTTGGAAAATGAATAAGTACGGCTAGAAAGGTCAAGAGGGTAAAAATGTGAGACAATTTTGAAACAGAATAAAAACAATCACACTAATTTGAAATTGTCATTTCTGTTTCCCACTTTTTTCACGTGCACACTATTTTATGATTTCATTTTGAGTCTTATTCACTACAACAGGGTTGCCAGCCAAATTATTTTTTTCCATTCCCTGACTTTTCCCTGACTTTTAAGTATGGATATGACACAGTCTGTTAAAGTGAAATTGATCCAGTTGATCCCGCAACGCGAGCCCGAGACCGCCCGCGCCTAATTCCACAAAAAATCAGAAAAATCCCTGACCAACACCGAAATTCCCTGACTTTCCCTGACTTTTACCGGTTGATTTTTTTCCCCTGACTTTTCCCGGTTTTCCCGGTCGCTGGCAACCCTGTACAAATGGGCCACTTGACAAGGTCTGAGCTAGAGAAAAATGTCACATGCTTTCTCTTCATAACCTTATATAGAAAACAATGCATACAGTGAGAAACTCAGAAATCAATATCAATGAATATTCTCAACACAGATCAAGTGGAAGATAGACTATACAAATAATGCCATTTGTATTTTCGATTTAACCAGTGGTAATTGCAAACACTTACATCTTATTCAGAAGTCAATTTCCAGATTTCTCATTGTTTAACTCAATTTCCTCAAAAATTTTAAAACGAAAATATATTGTCTTTACTTCGTCTAGTAGCTAATCATCATTTCTTTCGTGCTATACTGAAAGTTTATCATCTCTGCTGATAAGAGATTTGTGTACTCTTTAAAGAATAACCAACTGGAACGGTTTCTCGGTAGCAAAATTTCGACAAAAAGTTGTTTAAATAAATATTTTGGAAGGGAGAAAACAGAAAAAGAGGATGGAAAAATAAAGCTCTACTTCAACTTTAAAAGTATCGTAAGTTAATCAGTACAGACATACACCAGAATTTTTGCCACAAGCTAAATATTAGCTTTAAAGGACGAGGAGAAATTTTAAAGTGACCTTCTGATGGAACAGATAAAAAAATAAGGAATCCGCTCACTAACTGATTGCACTTCATGTTACATACGTAAGAATATGTAATAAAAATTCATCACTCGGAGCCACGGGAGACTGCAGAAGGGATTGAAAATTTACCTGTTTGACTTAAAAATTTAGCAGTCCTCCACTCTCAAGTAAAAAGAGAGTGGCCCTTGATTTTTCTTCTACTTAGGTTTTGGAACTTGTTGTCGGTCGTGAGCTGAAAGAGAGACATAACATTTATTAACAAAAAAAAAAACAGATGTGCTAAAGTAGGAAGGAAAAATCACAGTTCAAAGTGACTACCTATGCACTCGAATACAAAACGGCAGAAAATGTTACTGACATGAAACTTATTATCAGCCAGGGAAAAAAAACGAAAAACCAAGATTAATCCTGAAAAGTGTATATTCCTTGAATAAGCAAAATATGTGCAACAAAAATTTATAAGTAGGGTCGACTATGAGGGGGAAAAATAATTGCGACGGATATTGTTCGTGAAACTTACAAAGTTGAGAAACATTTATAGGGAGATTAAAGAGGAAGCAAGGATGTAAGTATCTATGCATATGAATAACGACTTCAAAATGGGTAAATGAGGCAGAAAAAAACTCAATACATTAAAAAACGCAGCAACATAGATTGGGCATGTTGGAGCATAATGATGAAACTTTCCTTTGATGAGAGAGACCATCTTTGATTTTACTCAAATTTTATATTCATGCTCTGTTTGGCACGATAGAGTAAGCACACGTTTCAATATGTCAGTTGCGCTGGTCACAGAATCGTGTTTTGGTGCTTTATTCTTGCAGATCAACTAAAAAAAATAAGATCTGTCAAAACAGCAACTTTCTAGGTTGAATATTGACATAGATAGTGCGCCTTGAAAAACGCGATTTATGATGTCACCCATTATGATGTCAATCCACGATTTATGTAGTACATACCATGTTGAGTACTACCGTGGTGGATGACGCCAAAAACCTGACTTTTCAAAGGACGATATCATGGTTAATATTCAACACAGAAATTTGCTGTTTGGACGGATCTTATTTTTTCTTTTAGCTAATCTACAAGAATCAAGCATCAAGACACGATTCTTTTCCCAGCGCAACTGGCACATTAAAATGAAGATGGTTGGGCAAAGAACCTTGTTATTTTAAAGTATGGTGCATGTTTTATCTAGATTTGTAAAATGAGTGCTACGATGAATGCATTATTCTACTAGGAGGAAAACACAAACTAAAGAGTTACAAACAAAAGCAAAACAAGTGTTCAGGGGAAAAATGAAGAGGTGCAGTTGAGGTAAAAAAAAAAATTGTGATCAGCCATAGTAAAAAACTGAATTTTGACAAAGACAAAATTTATTGGAGGCGATAAGGGGAGTTTACATAAAACATATCTTGGTTCCTCTTTTGAAAGTAAGAGACACTAAAGCATCTCAAATAAATTGAAGATAACTAAAAAAATACTATGATGCATTTATAGAAAACGTATGAATTGTTGCGTAAATGACAGTAAAAGCCACTGATGTAAAAAGCCTAGACACTTGATCTTTTTTCTTAAGGGCAAGTATTCTCACTAGGATCAAAATTCAAAATTCTCCAGGAACGTCAGTTTCTTAGTATTCTCTACCTTAAAATCGTCAAAATTATTATCTTCGTACACCAATGGTACCATTATTTATAGTCCATACTAAGGAATCAAGGGATCTCTTCTTTTGGCTGATCACAAGTTTTCATTACCATACGATAGCTAAAGGGTCATTAAAATCTACAATTATCAACAGCTTCAACATGATGAGGTTTACGCCCCTTCTTCCTCCCATTTATACAAGGGATTGATGATATGAAATTCGGCAAAGTAACCAATCATGAAATAATAAATAAATAAATAATTAATTTTTTGAAAAGTTATGTACACTTGCATTTCAAACATAAAAAAGGTACACGTTTATGCCACTTAGAAATCCTCCAAATTTTGGTAAATCTTTTAAGGAGTTATGATCTTGCCTTACGTCTCAAAATTAACCTTACGCCCAGGATCTGTCTCATCCTCGTTGCGATCCTAGCATCGCAAAATCAGGCATGGTTTATGGCTGCTTGTGTGAGTAAGTGTTAAGTAATAATTAAAAAATGGTAAACTAATGCACTAAAAAGTCCTGACTCCAAATTTCGAACAGAAATGCGTTGAAAATGATCACTTCAGGAAATAATTTGAATATTTGAGCTGATAGGGACACTCTTTGTACATTACTTAAAATTCAGAGATCTCTACTCTTGCTATATTGTAGACATCATACAATGTTGGAAATTGAGAATGAATTGAACTACATTTTGAAATAATAAACGGCTATTTCTGGCTCATTTTGGAAACAGCGTAAAAGCTATATTTTCCCTAAGAAGATAGGTGCTTTAACAGACGAGTCACAAACAGCACTTTTTCATTCTAAAAAGTAGTCCAATTATGGTCTCATAGAAGAAACTAGAGTGAGGACTTTTTGTTAGTGAATAATGGAATAAGCAAAGCAAAGCTGACTTACAAATTGGACTGGCTGGAGCGGAGATTCATACCAAGGCTTGATGGAGAATTATAACTAAAAAATGGATATGCTTTCGCAACAGAGCGTGTTATGGGTCTATTATACTGAAGGTTAACTTTGTTCATATTTACGCTGCGGTTAGGTGTCATCCCACTCCATGAAATTCTATTGGAAACAAACAACATAGGTAAAACAGAAGCAACTTCAGCTCCTACGACAGAGTTCATGACAGCTTTTCACACTGAAACTCATAGACTTTGGGGACTTATAGTTTGTGAGATCTCGAGGGATGTTTAAAAAACTTGCAAGTTTTCTCTTCTTGGGTTTTTACGTCCGGATGCTTACTGCCTGTGAATGACTATTCCAGAATTTATTTTCATAAATTTAATGCATTCTGGGTAAAAATAGGTCAAATCTTTGCCAGTAATGAGCTAAAACAGCCATTGATCCACTGGTCTGTCCATGATGATGAAGTGAGGCCAAAGATAGTACAGTAGGCTTTGAAACTATTGGAACTGGAGAAGAAAATGTACTTAGTGTGATTTCATGATGTTGTCAGGTATTCATTTGCTTCAAATCATTTTTAAACTTCTTGACTAAAAAAAAAGGTTTTCCCTTACGGACCACCTACACGTCAAGCCGCCCAAAAGTCAAACCTGTCTTCCTACTTGATTTTTGGACTTCTCATAGCATATATCAATGTTAGAAAATGCGTTATCGCCGATTGCAACTTTGCAAATCTCAGCTCATGTTTTATCTTCTAAAAAGAGAGCTAACCTACAGTTTTTCTCCAGATTGTCTGGAAATGACTTTTACTAAGCTTAGGACCAAATTACTTTTTCCAGAGATTCAGATTGAGAGAAAAGACATCTGGAACTTGTTTGCACGTTCTCACCGGATTAAGTTGCTGCATTGCTGCGCTTCTCACAAAATTCTCTGACTTGTCCAGGGTGCTACAAAGTCCCCGGCTTTCCAGGTTTTTCAAAATGTTGGAAACCCTGAATTTCTTTTACTCATTTATCTATTTTTACAGAAAACTTCAAGGAAATATTGTGTTTGGTTTCTTTTTAGACAAAATGAAACATGATTAGAAATTGTGTGTTGTTGCGATTAAGATACGAATTTTCAATTCTCATCATTGATATTTTTTTTTGTGTGAAATTTCGAAGAGGAGATATGTTGAGAAACATTCTCAATTAAACCTTGCCAACCACCCTGTAAAACTAAATGAAGCAAGAGAGTACCAGCAAGACATTAGCTCTTGCACATAAATATGCCCTAAGTTCTTCAATGACACGTGCACTTGGCTAAGAAGATGAACCATGGTTTCTGACAAGCAGATATGCATGGCACTTTCTTGCTTTTGGAACTCAACAAAATTAAAATCCAATTTAAAAAAAAGAGGACTTTGGGCTGAACTCGATTTGATAAAATAGGCATAATATAATTTACAGTAAAAAAGATTCTAATCTTTTTTACTCTAAAATATACATGAAGCTAACATTTATTTCCCGCCACTCACCAAATCTCAATTGGGACACAAGAAGCAGAGTAACAATATACATAAAACATTAAAAGAAAAGGACACAGCGCAGAATACAATGGGATTTAGCAATGGCCAAATTTCATTATTTTTTTTTATCTGATGATCTTTCCAATATCCTGACAACAAAATGCTTTGAAAGTCAAGATCTCCTTAAACTTTCCTGAATCATAATATAAGCTAAATAGGGAATGCGATAAAAAAGAGCTGTTTAAGGAGTGCCTACGAGTATAGCCTCTAGTAGTTGTTTGTCACATTTTTTTCCTGAATTCAGTCTTCAAGAAATTTGGAAGAGAAAGGTAGAAGAGAAACCAAAAATTTATTTCAAACGGTGACTCTTCATGTGATTTTATATCCTTGCCGACATCGAAGCATTTTTGGCAGGTAATTAACATGTTAAACGATGACATCATGTTAGTAAAAATATGGTTAACATCGACGAATCACAAGCACATTTTTACAGGTTACGCTTGCAGGTAATGTGATAAAAAAATTAGTGATAAACGGGAAGGATTCCTTTCGCTTTGAGTGCCCAAGATCTGTATTTGCTTTTACAACGATTCGAGCAAGTCTCTTCTAAGTCTTTCCTAATCAGTTTCTAAGTCAGTGGTTAAAGACAAAAAAAGCGTATCTCAATTGCAGCGTTAAAAAATCTCCGATTATGCTTCACTTCCTTCAAGGTGAATTATTAAAATTCTTTCTTACAATTGGACATATTTCTGTCGAACGGAACTAAGGGCCAATTTGAGTTCCGTTTAAGGAATTTAGAATGCCGGATAGCGCGTTCTGTCAAACGGAACTAAGTGCCATGGAAAAGCATTGCGAGTATAAGACGGAACGAGCCCGACGCCCGATTCCGCCGCCAATCTATGCCCCGCACTACCTTCCTCCTCCGATGGCGCTTAGTTCCGTTTCACAGAAATAAGTCCAATTTAGAGTTATTTCTTGAGGAGTGAATGAGGGAAAGTCACAAACAAATTTAACTAGAAACTGTAGGTTGCTTTTCCTTAAAAAAATAAAACTTGAGCAGACTTTCGTCATTGCAATCTGAGATACGCTTCAGCCATGAACATACTTCTTGTTTGATCACACCCTGAATAATAAAACTTTTGCTTTTGTAAAAAGCTCTGGAGAATGTATGGGACCGTTGATTTAGTAAAGTAGCATGGTTCATCGGAAAGATACTTTAATTCTTCATTGATTAGGCTCTGGTGATTATTAGTACCTTTTTTGTCTATAAATTTAACACCTAAAAAATCTGATTAAAAATTGAAAATGGTATTTCTGTGGTGATGGGAATAAAGTCTGTTGTCATATGTATGAGTGTTCTAAAGTTTACATTGAAGAGAAGCGTGGAATTTTTTTTTCTCAAGATCTTTGCCGCAGATGATGCTCAGTGTGAAAAGTGAGTGCAAATGAAAGCCTGTGGATACAGTTAAAAACTTTCATAGTGAAGTTTAGTATGTGGATATAGTTAAAAAACTTTCAAAGTGAAGTTGTTCAGTGGTGCTATTGAAAGCGTATGTATTCATATATATGTATATTTGTAATGTATTACGTCAGAAAGTGACATTTGTTCTGGCTTGAGGGTTTGGATCACATCCAACGATAACAGCTTGTGTCCATTCCTCCAGCTTTCAGTTTTTTGGTGTTAATAATAATTTTCATGAGTTGATACAATCATGAAAGTGGTGCTAGGACTTGTTTTTGGATGAAGATAAACCTAAAATGAGTATTGATGCATCTTTTAAAGTTGTATCTAACTCTGCAAAGTATTATCAACCCAAAAAAACTCAAGACTGGATAAAATGGACACTAGCGGTTTTCACTCGACGCGATTCAATTGTAAAAATTATTAAATAGGGCAATATTATCTGAAATGATATTTCACCTTTGACAAGTGCCTAAGGATTGCAGAAAGTATCGAGACACCTGCAACTTAATACAATCCAGCACTTACTCCTTGAAGTAAAATGAACAGTTTTATTAAATTTAACAAAAAATTCTAGATTTCTCTCAAACTTAGTCCAGATTTTCTCACTTTTTAAAACAGTGGTCATCCTTTTTCACCTTTTATTCTAAGCGACAAAATGATTCAAAACAAAATGATTAAATGATAACCGAAATTCAAACTCGCTTTACCGGGCACCTTGACCATTATGATGGTTTACTTCTTAATTTGTCTAGTACTCCACTTTTGAAATTTTTCAGACGCCTGATCAATGTAGATGGTATAATGTAAAAAAATTCAATTTCCACCGGTAAACATCACAAAGAAAAGACTAGATACAACCCTTCCTTTGAATCCTTAAAACATTTTTCAGCAATAAATACTGGTAATTGGTTCATCATTTTCGGTGAAAATAAAAGAAGATGAGACTTAAATAGAGGGTAAAGAATCATTTTAGAGAATCTGAAACACTGAGATAGTGCTGTTACCTTTTGGTTGTTGGTGAAGGGGTTGGTCGTACTCCTCGCCGAAGTCCACCGCTGGACGAGATAACATCCACACCTAAACTACTAACTTTTGGAACTTTGGATGGTAGAACAATACTGGACTCATTGGCATTACCGCTGGTTCGCGAGGTGAGAGTTTTGGTTCGTCCTGTTAGTCCATTAGTGTTTGATCTGAAATCAATTTTAGGGATTAATAGCTATAGGTTTGGTCAGGTTTTCATCCTAGTAATCTACGGTTTATTTACAGTTTTATTTTATGTTGTTCTACGTTTTTGTGTTCTCGGTTTAACTTGAGAAAATTGCAACCTGGACTGCTGCTAGTTATCTGGCTATTACTACAAAAAAAAGAGAATTTTTCTGAAGACTTACGTTAAAGGAGATAGATGTGCCCGGGGAACTCTCCGGAACTGTTTAATTTGATTTAATTTATCTCCTTGTGTTAGTGGGGAAACGGTTTTGGACTCGCCACCTTTCCAAGAAGGGGGGGATGGAGTCTTTGCCTGAGTGATCTGATAATTCCAAGTGTGGGAGAGATTCTGAAAGAAAAAAAAAATTAGTAGGAGAGAAGGAAAAATTTAGAAGACCATGAGTAAGCTGAATGAAGGATGCATCGGAGCAAAAAATTACGGAAATAATAGAATCGCTCTCTAACATGATTGTGGCATACATTTTAATTGAGCAATGTTCCTTCCCACTCTGTGTTGCTCAAAGTGTCAAACAACAAGCAATGGCTGAGCTGAGGCTCCAAGATTGAGGTTGCTACAATTATGTACCGCAAAGACTATTGTTGTGATGTCTAGTGTGTGATATGTTTTTCATGGTTATGGTTTTCATGCAAGCAGAAAGTTTATATTTATTCATTGAAAAACATCGATATCTTGGTTAGGAGCTACTTTCAATATTTTTTTTGGCACAAACTGCGCTCAATGTGGATTTTTAAGAGAAAATACAAATCATAATTCTTAAATTTGCACTAGTTAGGTTGTCTGGATTAAAACTTTAAAAAAGGATGGCGCTCACCTTCGAATTTCGGATTTTAGCAACCTTTTCATCGGTCTCTTGTTTTAGATCATTCAATTTCATGATATCCACTTTGTGCATGATGCGAGCCACAGAGTCTGTTGGTTTGATGAGCTTATCAGAGATCAGTTCTGCTTTTGTTGAATTCTTGATTGATTTTATCTTGAGGCTGTAAATACCGTACTTGTGGAAGGGGAATATGTTAGGATTTCCTTTGTTTTGATACCGATAATTATCTCCTTGGACCCACATCAGAGACTCCTTACTGAAATAGAAAATGAGAATTCATTTTTTATTTAATTATTCTTTTTTCTTACACAATATACAGGAAACTCAATGACAATACTTAAAGAGGAAAACTAGAAAAAAAAGTTAGAAGTAGAGTACCGAAAGCATGAGACAGTCTTACCTCATGGAGAGATGATCCCTTTGATCAGGGGCATCTAAAATCAATTCAAGGGGGATCGGTTTTACAGGCTTAAATACCTGACAAGGTACGTGACGTAGTAAAATAGCAGCAGCCAACCTGAACTCAAGACTAAACTATCTCATTCCAAATCTAATGCTGATCATAGACAAACTACTGCATATTCTTCCACTACAGATTCTGCCGCCATCTTGCCAGATTTACGAGTGTGCAACTCAAACCCTTTTGAGGTTTTCCTTCATTTTGCCCTTCAGAATAGAAAATTCTCTCTGTTGCTGTCCGTCATTAATGCAAATTGGAGAAAACAAATGTGAGCTCAGTTCACCTATTACTTTTTAATGATTCATTAAAATAAATTGACTTTACAGACTAATTATATCAAAGACTTGAATTGAAACTTACTCAGAGAGCCATTGTTGTTGGTGACCAATAATTGAACCAGGTCTACAAATCCTTATCCAAGCGATTGTTTCATGCACTGTAAATCTATAATGTTTCATTATATAACATCCAATTAATGAGCCTGTCCTTCCTAGACCAGCTGAAAACAGAATTAAACAAATTTAGGATAAATCGATGATTCTCTAACTTCGTCTGCATAGAATTATCAGAGGGTATGATGGTCTTTCGAAGGCATTAATTACTACTCGAAACAACTTTCAATATTACATTTTCAATCTGAAGCGATTACATATTCATTTTTCAAAAAAAAAAAAAAAAAAAAAAAAAAGGCTGTGCATACAATCAAATGTTGAACTTATTTTTCAGCTTCATTTTGAGGAAGAATCACTACCTTTTTTTGACTTTTACACGACATTACAAACTTTGAAAATGAAGATGAACGAGAAATGAGTCGCATAAAAAACTCAAACTTTCAAATTACCTTGATATTTACAAAAAGGGACAAATTTGTTTCTGAAGCCAAACTGCCTCCATCTTCAGCGGGTGACGACTGCTTTCGGAATCTGACGGATGGTGCGCTGCGAACGCCTCAGTCGTCACCCAAGATGGGAGCAGTTCGGCTCCCAAAACAAATTTGTCCCTTTTTGCAAATATCAAAGTAATTTGAAAGTTTGAGTTTTTTATGCGACTCATTTCTCGTTCAAGAATCACTACCACCAATCATACCACCATTTAAAAATTTCAAACGAACAGGTGTCTCAACTTAGGGTTGATACCACATCATCAGAAAACGTCTAGGCAGTACTAAGATTTCTCTTTAATTTTCTTGAAATATCGAGTGTGTCAATTTCTCTGATGCTTGCAACTTCGATTTTCAAAACTCCGGTGAGATTTCCAAACAACACACATTGGTTTGCCGAGCTGTAGACTTCCTCTCATGCGAAATTTTTTCGGTGGCAAACTATTCAACATCGTTCCTTGAAAACTTTCATGATTTTTCTCCGCTGCGTGGAGAATGTTCCATGAAAATTTCAAGAGAGACTCTTGATTTTTTCTCCATTGAAGAACGAAAAAGGAGAGGATATTTTGAAGCACTGCAATTGTGTTATGTGGTTTGGGAATCAGTCTGTCAAAATAAAGCATGTTTCATACAATAATTTGAATCTATTCTGAATACAATTATTTCCGAGCACTATTTGGTACTGTGTAAATAATTTGATGTTATCATTGCTAAAAATTTTAAAAGAACTAAGGAGCCAACACAGATTAATTCAATAAAGATAGAATTTCAATTACTTTAAATCTATGTAGTAGGGTGACCATAAGAGAAATGGATGCCTGGACAGCCGCCCAAGAGATAGCTGTCATTCCCGCGAGATAAATAAATGTGATGGGTGGGGTTAATTTTTGACAACTGTCCATTAAGGGTAATCACAAATTTTCATCAATTTTTTTCCTTTTACACTTGCCTGATACAATAGTGGCAGGACATAGAGAGCCCATGCTCTAGTCAAAGGAGGAAGAAGAGAAGGAGGAGGAGGAGGAGGAAGAAGAAAAAGAAGTTGAGTAAAAATTCAAGACATACCTTTACAATGGACAGCTATAGCTCCTGCAGCATTTTCAGCAATATTCATAAATTGCTTCAAAATCCCATCACTTGGTGTGCTACCATCCAGAAAATATAAGTCTTTGTGATCGAAGCCTCCATTGTTGAAGCGGCTGGCATCATACAGTTTCTTATTCAAGCGGACAACTGTTGTGACATTGTTTTTCCTGAAGTAACTGAAATATGATTCTGGACAGTGCAAATGATAGCCTAAAAACAAACATGACGATTAAAGGATATTCATATTATGAACTGGTATTTGATCTACTGCAAACAAATTGGGAAACATTCATTTTTCACACTTTTAAGATGGCGATGTCATACCATTTTTCCAGCAGATTTTTGGTTATGAAGTCTAGCTTGGAAAAAAATTGCAAGAACAGTAATGGACTGATAGCAGTTTTGTTTCAGATTGCAGCATGATTACACCGTAATGTATCGTCAGACAAACCAACAATGACAACGATTAAATGGTGGAAAGAGGTCATAAGAGATTCGCATATTATGAGTTTTGCACATCATATTCAAACCAAAAATCATAAGTTTTCACTTCTGAAATCAAGTTCTATGCATTTAAATTACTTTTTGACATGGCTGGCTGCTGTTTTAAGAGGTGAAGGTAGAAACGTATGTATACGTGTGGAGAGGCTAATAACTAAAACTTGATCGATACAAGGGAACACTCATTATCATCCACAAGCAGCAAGCTTTGACTTCTATGGTTTGTCAAAAATAAAAAAAAAGGCATTTCAGGACATTAACATGATTAATGTGTACTGTGTATCTGGCAAACCACAAGACTATTCAGATTAATTAATCCATCTGCTCTAAAAAGAAAAAATGGTTATTAATTCTCAATTAAAGTAGTAAAATATTGTTTTTTAATTATAAAATCTTGAGATTTGACAAACACATTCAAGGGAATGTTGAAATTCATCAAGAGGGATGGGATGATGGGAAGGATGAGATGGTAAGACTTGACGGAGGAGTAAGAAAGTCCAGATCTCGCGGATTGCCACAAAAGAGAAGCAATTTCGCTAATCACTTTAAACATAGGGCATATCACATAATTTGCCGTAGAATCAGACATTTTTTCGTGAGGCAAATTGGAAATTTGACCATGCGGCAAAAACACTGAATCATAGCAATTGGTTGGGGTTCTATAAATTTCAGCACCCTTAAAACTTCAAAGAGTTATGAAATGTATACCTAGTCCTTACCATTTTCTATTTTGCTGCGAGCATGAGGGCCACAAAAAGCAATAAACTTTTGCGGAACAATCCAATTCAAATCTCCATTCTCTACTCGCTGCACAAAGAAATAAACAGAGCTTGTTAGAGTTTTGGAGGATCAATTAAAAACCCACAAAAGAAGAGGGAAATTTCATTTTTACTGATAAATGGTGTTAGCTAAAATTTTTCTACAAAAAAGAAAAAAAGACCCTAGATAGATTAACTGTGACCAAGGGTTGAAATTGGTTTTACATCAAAGGCTCCATATAAAGTAGGAAACTAAAAATTTCCGATTTTTAAACTGTAGAAAATGTTTATTTTAGCATCAATTTTCTATTGTGATTGACTGGGGATCTCATAGACTTCAAACTTGCGGCCGAACTGAGCTCAGGGCTTCTGATTCTTTCATTATAAATTCCTTGACTTTCAGACAAAATTTTCAATTAATTGTTTTCCATATAAATAAAAAAAACTTTAACCAAATTTAGGACCAAAAATCCACACCTAGAGATTTAAATTATGGAATGAGGTACACAGAGACTGTCCATGGCCTGTTGAAAGGCACACTTCTTGGCTGAAGTTGCCTATCTGACACTTCTGCCACATTCCCTGACATTTCTAGTCATTGCTAATTCCCTGACTTTCTGGGCCACTGAAAAGTCTGAAGTTACATTTTTAAGGTCTCCAAGAATGTGTCTTTATAAAATTCCCCGATTTGTCGCCTGTAATACATAAAGAGTGCTACACTTGAGCGTTAGAAGTGAGAGGATATTTCAAAGAAAAAGGGTAAAAAAATACCTCAAGAAATTCATATTCTTCGGCATCAAAATCATCAAAACGGAAGAATCCAAGCATGTGAGCTTTCTGGATGGCAGAGAAACAATCCTTGAGAGAAATCTGATAGACAGGAACTCCATGAGATGCATCCCTGGATGAAGTGAAAAATTAAGAGAAATATTTTGAGAGAATAGTGGGTAAATGGTGACATATTTATCAAACGCTTCCAACTTTTTGTTCATTTGAGAATTTCATTGGAGTTGCAAGTGATATAAAAAATCTATTCTAGTGCTTCCTCAAAATGACTTCATTGTAATTTTTTTTACCAAGTTTCAAATGGCCTATTGGCTAATCTTATGCTTACTACCCTAGCCCCAGGTGACCATTGCCACTTACATCCCTGAAGTATAGTGGCACAAAATTTGCTCAATGTAATTGTTTCACAGGACTAGTAAAATGAATGAATGATACTTGAGAAAAACATCACTCCACAGATCATTCACTTAAAGCTTGATAAAACCTTCAAAGCTTGTTGACCAATATTTCCATAATTTCTTCATTTCCTAACTCACCGACTTTCTCTGTCTCTTTTTGCTTTTCTGGAATCCCAAAATTTCCAACTTCCCTGACTTGTAAGCAAAATCTTCTCTTAGTTTGTTTTCTTGTACCTAGGCTGACTTTTGCTGGACCACGGATAATACTTCCACTTTTAGAGGTTCAAACTAAAGAAAAATGCACTTGGAAGTTATTTGCGCTCTTCCAAATGGCACCAGTGGGAATTGCTAGGCCGATGCACTACTCGAAAAATTCTCTGACTCTTCCCGATTTTCCGGAACGCCAGAAACCCCGCTAACTCATGATTATTCTTGGAGCATTCCTATCTTGGTATGAAACAGATAAGATACACATTTCATACACAAAAGAAAAATTTAAAGAGTAGACTTACCTGAAATTTTTGTAGAAATATCCTTGAAGAATCTCATAGACTTCTTCTGGTGTCTTGTTCAAATATAAAATCTGAAAATAATAACAAAGACTAGATATTGCTTGATGAAGAGTATAATTGAAAAAGAGACAATCTCAGGAAACCAGTAAATGGGCAAAAAAAGAGCAAGGAAAAAATAGCGGACAAGAAATAAAAATTAAGTGGTACAAGATAACAATTGAGGTAAAAAACTGTGCGCTGAGTAATTGATAGAAAGAAATTAGAAACAAATAAAAATTCGAAAATAACTAAACTTCCAAAGGATATTTAAAACAGCAGCCTGATGGATGGGATTTTGTGTCTTCCTTACAGATAAGATAGATTCATATGCGATGAAGCTACATGATTTGTCGGCTGTATCGTTTGGGTGACCAAGGAGGCCGCTTATCGCGTTGAAGGATCGACTTGCTCAATGCACCTCCTCGCTGACCAGGGACCAGTTGATTGTTTGGCTCCGCTATGTCGCTATCTTGGTCCCACAAACAAAATGGATGATCAATCACATGCCTCTATTTCATCTCAAGCTTGTTTTGTCTACTAAGAATTAGAAAAGACCGAAAAAAGCTACAACCCTGACAAGTTCCATTTGAATGAGATAGGTTTGAATAAGAGCCATTTCACTATAAGTGTAACTTCACCAGAGGAGTTTCTAGCAAAAGTAGGTGAACTGATATAAAGAGAAATAATGAAAATATTCTTGCGTATATCATGGTCAATGTTTGACTGATTACTTACCGCAAAAGAGCCAATCAAAAATGCCGCATTTACTCTGTCATTACTGTCTGTGGTTGTGTAGTGGACAAGCTTTTTTCCAGTGTTTTGAACAGCCTAAAAAAATGTGTAATGAATTAGTTTGATGTTCACTATTAAATAGTGCCGAAAAAAATTAATGAAAAAAAAAAATAGAGAAAAACCCATGCTAATTATCTTAGTTTGGATGACCGGATTTAAGTTTGCAGTGAGCGAAAAAACTACACATTTCACAAATAAGTTGGGCTCACTAAGAAATCTTAGAGAAAACATATATGCTCATGCAGCTAAAAATGGGCTGGGCCCCATAAAGCTTCATTTGAATTGACAGGTCTTCCACCTGACACTGAGGAGATTTTCATGTGAGTTTGGTTCTGTTTCTAAGCACAACTACTCTGTTTCTGCAGCTAGATTACTGATTTTTGACTCTATGGATGGATTTAGATTGTATTGTAACAAACTGTTTCATCATATCGTAACTACAAGGTTCTAAGATTACTGTCTGTAAAAATATCAGTCTGAAAATTGTTGAATGGCATTAAGAAACTGTCGCCACAATCCAATTGGAGCTACCAAATATGGCCAGCATTTGTCAATGACCCTTAAAATAAATAGTGGTATATTCTGTTTTCTGATTGATACATGACATCTTTTCAAAGGAGATGTGAGCAAATACTTGCTTTGGTGCTTAGAAATTCTATGCCCTATGCAATTCAACAAATTTTGTATATTTAGAAAAAAAAATAATAATTGGTGTGCTGAGGGAGATCCTGAAGGAAGTTTTATATGACTATTTGAAAAATATCTAAAATATAACAAGGTAAGTAAATGATAATAAACAGAATTCCGAAAGATAGTCAAACTTTCCCCCATCAAATACTTGCTTCGAAGGTAAAATAATAAATGAATCAAGTATTGGCAAGTTGGTCATTTAACAATGAACAAATAATATTCGCAATTATAAAAGCAAATTACTTGAGTTTAAATGACAATGAATATTATACAGATGTTCACAACCACAATGGCTACTGAATTAGGTGAGACTTTTAAATTATTCACAATCTGTGGTCTTTAAAAGTTTTAGCTGCTACTATGACGGCATTCCTAACTGTACTGTTTCATAGTGTGTCCATTTAGCCCAAGCACAGTTGCACAAACCATTCATTAGGCCCAGAAATGCCATTGATGGTACAGTCAGACTCTGAAAGATAGCAGCTTTTGAAGGAAGAAATCGAAAGTGACTGATACCATTGCAATGAGGACAAACTACTATTTTGGATATTCCTTACCTTAAGCTTGCTTGATACTTTATTGCAGTATTTGTAAAGCATGGCAAGGTTGAGAGGACCAAAATCCTCATAGAAATTTTCGTACACCAGTTCATGATCAACAGAAAAGTAATGTGTGTTCGGAGTGGATTTGGGTTTTACATTAGATGACAACGTGACAAAGTACAGGCGATCTGAAAAGCAATAAAAGAATGATGTACATTAAATTAATGAAGTTACTTACAAACATATTAGGACTACTGCAACATTATTCAGATACTAATCAGTGATCAGAGATTCGAGTGCTATTCGGCAGGGACTCTCATTTTCCACACAAAAAAGCTGAGAAAAGTTTTAATTTTGAAGTATATGCTTTGCAGTAATGCTTACTATCTATGTGCAATGCTTTTGAATCGTTAGAGCTTTCTTACATATGTTGAGGCAGATGTCAATCTCTGATCAGCTTCGAATCAGCACCACTCTCTCAACTGGTTAGTACATGCAACCAGATGGCACTATTGATGAGATGTGATGATCTTACATATACAATACTTGAATTATGTCTCAACATACAATGAGTGAGCTTTAGACATAAATAATATCAATGAACAAATTTGAGAAAGATCGAATAAAACTGTGCGCCTAACACCAAAATAGGATAACATTAAGATAACAATATAAACTGCGTCAGCATATAAAATTGGTCATCTGTTCGATAGCTTTGACATGACAGGGCAATTGATCTTGAATAAGAAAAAGAAACAACCATGTTTGCTGATGGATAGTTCAACATTACATAGTTGGAAAAACCATTAGAAAGTAATATTTTCACAGATTCTCGATTAAGTAAGGTACACAGGATGGACATTTGACTAGACTCATTAGATGGTGATGTGGATCTGATGATATCTGTACCACAGATCCGGCAAAAACGCAGAGGCTGCTTTAGAAAAGCTTAGCAAGGAGTACAAATAGATGCCATCAGATTCTTTGATTTGAATGATCAAATTAAACGTTACACCTTTGCCATGATAACGTAGAGTAGACGATATACATACTAGGTATGAGAAAGGAAAAAAGAGAATATAAGCAAGAAGCATGGGTATGGGATTTACTAATAGAAACAATTTATTTCAGACAATGTTAAGTCAAATCCTTGAGAATGAACGAAATAGAAAGCGGGTCAAAATAGGTATGAGTTAGACCTGACATATTACCTTTGATGATTTCAGAGGCAGCGAATGTATCTATTTCGTCCATGGCGTATCCTCGTGATAGTACGGTGTTCAGAACTAATTCAAAATATGACGGTACATGTTTAACTTTTGACCGATGAAATCACGCAGAATAAACAGCGAAGAATCAATTACGCGAGAGAGATCGACATCGTCCCTCGCAAAAACTCAATCCGTTTTGAATTCAACTACATCAGAAAGCTGTCTGAACGTCTTCGTAGCATCACAACCGCACCAAACTGATAGAGTAAGACTTAAAACACAATCGTTAGAAACAAAACCGGACGTAGTTTAGTAAATTCAAACTAAATAAAACAAGATAGAGGTCGAAATTTCAAAAAATTAGCAGTTAGACAGTACGGAGATAATTGACGAAACGCAAAACAAGCCATAATAAATCCGTTAGCCGTTGCCATGTTTATGTCAGAGACAAATAGTTTATGTCGCGAAATTTCACGCGAAGTAATAAAAGCCGCGGGCATTCTACCATTTCAAATATTCTATGACGTCACGCAGGACAAGCTCATTCAATTCTGTGATCCTGTTTTTGAATTTCTTGCATGGAGTGACGTCAGTCTGGGGAATCGGAGCACTGTCGCTGCCGTTTCATACATTCTCCATGAATGAAATCGAACCAAAATTCATAAACTTGCTAAAACATGTTCGCGCATGCGCACAGAGCTTTTTCGTTTGTTTTGTTGTGGCGTGAAATTCCGTTAGAAAAAGAGAAAAGAACATCCGCGCGGCTGCGACTGGAAGTATCGGAGGAGGACAGATGCTATGGATAGCAGTTTAGTGCATTTCGGTATAAAATAACAGCGAATTGAGATTGAGGTTGCTGGGAGTTTTACGTGGGTGCAGGCTGCGGCGGCGGCACTCTACGCACGAAATCGAGAAGCCTCTGCTGCCAACTTTTAAAAGCTCTCCACGCGTCCCTCTCAGAGACTAAGAGCACGCACCGCGAAATATGTCGACCGCGCTTTTAAAGTGGAATAGCCGCTTTGATACCAAGCCCGTCATTTCAGAGAAGTACATCATATTGAATACATCCGATTTGATCTCTCCAGAAATNNGGGGGGGGGGGGGTGCAAGGCTTGGCTTTAGTGATGGCGAACATCTACTTTAATGCAAAAACTGCGTACCTCAATTGCTAAGTTGTATAATCCGGGCTTTAGGATGAAGCTGGTCGGTTGCGTCTTCTTTTCTTCAGCCAAGCCAAGTTTCAGGAGCCAAATGATACTTAAATCCCTCCCTTATTCGTCAAAAAATACCGCAGTGGCGTAGAAAAGGGGGGGGGGGGGG